TTAAGATCATTTTTTGACATTGCTATCCACCTGTTATAACCTTTATAGATGGGTAATTTTTTAATTTTTTGGACGAGACATGGGGATCAAGCTCCACACGCCGATTTTTTCATAAAAGTTCAAACTCAAAATTAGTAATTTATTTTCCACGTCTTTAAATATCAAATAAAGTGTATCATACTGCATCATTAAATGCTTTATTCCGTATCAACCATCAACTAAACTGATTGACATTTCCGAATACCTAATGATTGACTCGATATTACTCAAGTTCATCACATAGTGTCATGGTGAATATCATCCTGCATAATTAAATGTTTTACTATGTACCAATTAAACTAATTGACATTCCCATATAACTAATAATTGGCTCGATTTACACAAGTTCATCACATAGTGCCATGGTGACAACAATTACTCTAGCTGTTGACTTTTAAAACAGTTAAAACCCCAAAAGATGAAGATTAAAAATCCGACATATAATGGTGGAGAGTTTAGGAAGATTGAATTCAATGCAAAGCTCGAGAACTTTCTTATTTGGAGTCCTCTTTCTCAGGGTTCTTTTCTCTCCCTTTTTTCCGGTAATACTTTTGTTCTTTTGTTTAACAAAAAGGATCTTGTGTAGCTATTTGACATTTTGAAGGGACATTTTCTTTTTCTTATCATTTTTGGTTTCTGTTGTTGTGTCTTGTTAATACATCACCCTCTAAAATATTGAGTACTTAATTATTATATTCCACCTAATTTTTGTACCAGTACAAGATTTACTCTTGTATTTTGGGATCAATTGGATCACAATCTTTTCCAATACATAACCCGAAGGAATTTTAATTCGATTAGCTTAGATTCACCAAGGAGTGATGATATTGCTTGAAATCCGGAACTTATTTGATAAACATCTTATCCTGTACACATTTGGCAATTAAGCTGGGTATGGGCGGGTGTGTAGGCTCTATTGTTATTAAAATCCCGATTTAAATCTTAGAATCTTACGATTTTACGATTCATGTATGTCAAACGATTCAATTTACGATTCTATCCGATTTTACATATTTCTCTTAATTAGCGAAATCCTTACAAGTTTAAAACATACCTACAAAGTTATTTATAAATATATAGTCAATTATTGGTTACTTAATGGCTAAACAATCATTTTCTATTAGTAATTAGGTTTAAAACTCAAAATTTAAATATATTTAATTAAAATTGGATATGACGTCTTGACTATGCATGTCCGTACAATCTTACGATTCTACGATTCGATTCTAAGAGCCCCTTCCGATTCAAAGTAGAATCCCGATTTTGATAACTTTGGTAGGCTCATATATTGTGTTAGCGAAACTCGTGCTCCAACGGGCATACTTGAAACATGCTAAGAAAAAGTAGTGTCACATCGATCATGCATAAATGAAGCCGATGTACGGTGGACATGTTGTGTTAGTGGACCCTCTTAATAGTTTCTACTCCGTAGATACTTTATTAATGGATTAAAAAGGAGCAAACTGGCCCATTATGTTCATGTTAAGATCGTGCCAAGTTTGAAAATGATGATATGATGTATATATGACCCATGGACCATTGTTATGTCTCTTATATTATGTCGGACTTACAACAAACAGGTGTCATAACGCCGGAACGTTTTGGTGGTTGAAGTCACTTTGAATAAATTCAAGCGACCCCTTATCAAAATTCATGCAATCTTTTCTTAGACTAGCCCAAACAACCCTCATGTTGGCCTAACTCACACCCAACTCTTAAAATTTTATATGATCATAAATCATAATTTTGCGTGTTTAAGGGGAAAATTAAGACAGGTATTGAATAAAAAAAAATTCTTGCACGTGCTCATTGCCATATGCAAAACAATGACCTATGCACAAATTAGGTAGAGGAATTCATTCTATAAACACTTTTGTTAAACTATTACTGGTGTGATGTACTCAATCTTAGGATTAACTATAGAAAATGAAAACACAAATTCTTCAAAAAGGCGAGTGTACGTTAATTTATTATAAGACGGGTTAAAGTTGTCTTAAAATATTTAAAGTTACCCTTTATATTACAAAAGTTATTATTTTTCTAATAATAAATTTTATCTTATAAAAAACTATAATGTATTAGATTAATCATATTAGCCTTTATAGTATGTAATCATGAATCTATAAAAACATTAAAATAATATTCAAACCAACGAAAAATTAAAAGTTGCCATTTAACGGTTTAAAGTTACCATAAAAATAGTTAAAATGACCCTTAAACTGACCGTTTTACAATAAAAATAACGTACACCCGTCTTACACAAGACTTGTTGAAACTAAAAGGAAAACAATACGTAATAACTATGCATTTATGATGTGGATTTAAACCCCTTAACTTAATAAAGAATCTAAAATCACACAACTAACACGAGCCTTCCAAATTTCCAAAGAAAATTAAACAATTTAAGAACAACGAACCGGATATGACTTTGAAAACGACCACTCAAGGAACGAATTCAATGCCTACTCAAACAACCTAGACCACTCTTGGAACTAAGTATTTTGATGAACAAAACTTAGACTACTCCTAGAGCTAAGAATTGAACGTTCTAATTATCAAAACAACTTCTTAAATTGAAAACTAGCGAAGAAAAGTTTCAACAAAATTAAACAATTTGTATTGAAATTAGGACAATTTCACTATTGCTACCACCAAAACACATGCACCTCACTTTTGCTACCCCTTAATTTTTTTATTTTATTTTACTACCACCTAAAATCAGAGTTTTAATTTTCACTATCACTTAACGGAATCCGTTAGGAATCTGTTAAGTTTATTTAAAAAAAAACAAAAAAAAAAACCAAAAAAAAAAAAACCAAAAAATTAGAAAAACCCAGCTAACATCCCCTCCCCCATCGTCCCACCCTAACCTCCACCACCACTGCCCAGTCCGCCGCCTCTCCCTCGCCGACCGTCGTTCTTCCCACGCCGGATCACCGCTTTCCCTCGCCGTTTTCCCCCTTCCCGGAAATCCCCTCCAACCCCCCCTGCGCAACCACTACAAAAAAACCCCTTTCCAACTCCCAAAAAACCCCAAAAACTCGTCCTCCACCCCGAAACACTAGCGGCTAGGGTTTTCGATGGTGGGGGAGGAGTTTTTGGGGGGTTTCGGGAGTGAGGGAGGTGGTTTTAAGGGTTTTCGAGTTGTTTGGGGGTTTTCGAGAGTTGGGGAGGTGGTTTGAAGGGAGTTTCGAGTGGTGGTGGTGGCTGGAGCAAGTTAACGGTTGTGGTCGCTGGCTAATAAAGGAGATTTCTTGGCTGGTGGCCGAAAAGGGTAGGGAAAGGGGGGACGATTCTGTGGGGGAATGGGGAGGGGGGTGGTTTCCGGTTCGGGGTGGAGGTCGGGGCAACAAGAAGGGGAAAAAGGAGGGAGGTGGGCTGCGTTGGTGGGGGAAAGGCAGTGGGGTAGGGTCGTCGGCGCCGACCAAAGCATTGGGCGCCGGTCGCCGGCAAGGGGGAGGGGTGAGGCAAGCTAAGGGAAGGGGTGGTGGGCTGCGTAGGTGGAGGAAAAGGAGGGGGAGGTTGGCTGGTTTTTTTTTTTTTTTTTTAAACATTTTAAATTTATTTTTTCTTTTTTTTTAATAAACTTAACAAATTCCTTACGGATTCCGTTAAGTGGTAGTGAAAATTAAAACTATGATTTTAGATGGTAGTAAAATAATTTATTTTTTTTATGGGGTAGCAAAAGTGAGGTGCATGTGTTTTGGTGGTAGCAAAAGTGAAATTGTCCTTGAAATTAATCTGATTTCCTATCTCTCTAAAAGCCACGAAATTCCCCTTACTTATCGGCATAAGAAGCACTAATCCTACTCCTACAAGGATTAGGACAAACCCCTAACCCTGTGCTCCAAGCATCCTAACTAGAATAGAATAACTACTTCTAATTAGAATAGGAAAACTAATCCTAAACAATCTCTAATTAACTAAAAACATTCCTAACAACCTTAAGAAGTATATAGCAACTAAATAACATAAATTAAGTATGATAAATCAACCATTTCATCTCGTCAACTTCCGAGCATCTCACGCGCTGAGAAAGCTTACACGCGCTGGCCCATGGTGTTGCCAAGTTCAAGGTGGTTCGAAGGAGGTGGCGCGTGGCCCTTGCAGTGGCGCGTGGCAGTGGAAATCTCCGTCGGAAGCCGGATGTGTCATTTCTTCTTCCTTGGAAATCATGTTTCTTTCCTTCCAATTTAAGCTATTGATCCTTTCTTTGTTTTTTTTCCTTTTTTGGGCAGCCTATATTGGAGTTATTAAGACTATCCAAAAGTGTATTAAATCCTTTAAGAGAATTAGCCTCTTGATTCACATCAATTTACAACACCAAGTGACTAGCAACACATTAAGAAACATTTCTATTATTATTGTAATCCCTTAAAAAGACTTTAACACGCATATTTGCGTAAAAAATAAAAAAATAAAAGTACAAAGTCATTGCTCAAATCATTTCCCTAAATTAAGATTGCATTGTCTACTCTTTAAATGAAAATCAAGCTGTGATTATGGTGGTTACAGTATCACAGTAACAGTAAAACACATAAAGAAAGCCGTAATAGAAGAAGGTAAATGACCCACCATCCCCAGAATATCAGGAAAGGCCAAGGCTTTATTTAGTTCGGTATAGTGGGAAGTTTAACAGTTCTACGCAAGAAACATGGTGCATCTCTTTTACTTATCTTTGATTTTTGCCCACCAAAAAGGATCTTTAGAAGAAGAAACTTGGGAGTCAATGGGGCTACAAAACCACTAAGCAGAGGAGCCCTCCTGTGCAATGACGCTGTCATTCAAAAGGTGTAACAAGTTGCTACTCCAATACCGGGAACAGTTTCGAGCAATTCACAAATGGAGTAACAAAGAAGTCTCGAACCCCCACCATTTTCTTCCCCACCACCATGAAACCAATGCTAATTTTGGTAGTTGGAAAGCTCCAGAAAACAAGTTAATAAAAGCAGGCTTTATGGTCGACAAATCCGCATCTAGCACAAAATGATACTTAACGATAATTTGTACAAGGATGGGACACTAGGATACAGAACAAAAAGATTATCAAATGCCAATACAATCAAGACAGTGCCTAAGACTTTACAAGGGAGCAAGCACAGAGGTTACTAGTGACAGTAATTTCCCTTTGAGCTAAAAACAATACTTGTTAGGGAGATAACATGGTCAGTAAAAAAAGTAGCAGAATAATTGTACAGCCGGTCTGGTTTATTACACACATATAACATGATTTTTACAGAGTGGGTACTATCGATCTATCTACCTTTTTCCTGTCTCGCTATTTGTCAATTCTTTCTCAAGCTCATCAAATTCCCAGCCACCAATCTCTTCGGATGTGTAATCTACACCAACCTTCCCGAATTCAGACTCCAATTTTGCCAACTCTGCTTCATGGTCATCCACCTGCTCTTTTTCTGCTTTTGAAGGCTCAGTATGCTTCTTCTCACTTTCCGAACCTTTTGCTGGTTCTAAAGATGATTGAGAAATAATTTCCTGGGGTTTCTCACTAGTTGGAGTCTCTGGCTCCCTACTTGGGGATTCCATCTGCAGAACCGGCCTTTCAATTGAGTCAAATTCCCTTCTCAACTTCTCAATGTCATCAAAAAGCTCCTTGACTTTTGAATCATCTTTCCTGAATGAAAAAGAAGAATCAAAAACTCCCACTTGAGAATATTGAAATATGTACACCTACCTAATTCATGAACGATACATACTCCCATAGTCTGAAAATTGTCAGAAATCCAAATTCTTCAGGTATAAGATTTTGTTGATTACAGTCCATATATATATATATATTTGTGCTCAAGAAAGTCTGACAAGTTTTACAGAAATATATACCCGTGTAGGCCGGGTGACAATTATTTACAATGCAGAAGTTTAGGAAAATAAAAAAATTTAACCTTGAAAATTTTCTTTCTTTGGAGTACATGTGCTCTTTCATGTTGTCCACTACACTGAAGGTGGTCACTATCTGCAAGTAGAGGGAAAAAGTCTCATCAGATAAAGTCTCCCATCTAGAATAAATATTTATGTTCCTATAATCCCAAATCCCAAATGTCAAATAATTTAAAGTCAACACTAAAGAAATCATCAAACCTTGGCCTCAAAATCCAGGTATTCCTCCTCCAAATTTCTTCTGGGATTTGATATTCTGGAATCATCATCATCTCCATGTGATGTTACCTTAGACCTGTGTCAAAATCGCTACACAATCAGAATCCAATTCCCTTTATTCCTCATGGAGAAAATTGTAGGGATATGCAAGTAAGAATGGGAGCTAAACACTAGTGTTAAACATTACCCTCCACTTAAAGACTTAAGATTCTCCACATATTGGCTAATACGGCCAATTGAAGGCTCCAGTTCTTTCTGCAAAAATACATGAAAAAGGGGCTTCAAGCTTAAGCAATATTGATAGGCAAATGATTGTTTCATAATAATTAATTCAATCCAGTGTAATACACTAAAAATAGAAGACTGAGCTAAAAAAATTTAGTACTTGCATAAGTCGAATGATTCTTAATTCTTAGGCACCCGCATATAAACATAACAAACTAAAGCGCAAAATTACCTTGTACCCAGAGAGAAGTTCAATGGCCAAGTCCACAAAAAAGTCCTCATGCCTCTCCAATTCATCACTTGCAAAAAAGTCAATAAGATATTATTAGTTTATAACCATGGAGAAAGGAACAATATCATAGTAAAAGAAGGGCGAGGGGACATAGAAAAGGTAAAGAGACAGAGACAAGGGTGCGCATGGGGGGTGCAGATGCTGTGCATTAAACAAAGCTCACCAAAAAAGGACTCGTAAAATAGTCAATTACAGTTTATTATTTTCAGTAAAAGCATAATTTCTTGAAGATTTGTGAAAGTCGAGACTTCCTTTAAGCTATGAATCAAGTTCATCAGAATTTACACACATACTTCGCCTGCTTTTCCTTGGACTCCACGAAAGTGCATTGTAGAGCCCAGGTATCTTCAAGAAAATTGATCCATGTCCTTAGTACATCAGCTTCTGCTTTACAAGAGCCAACTGATCTAGTCAGCTCTTCTTCCTGAGAATAATAACAATCAAAATGATGTATATGCCTTTTCCTCACAAGACTGTTGAGAATTGTTGGGGGGAATTGGGGGTGGGGGGGAGGAGAGTTAGCAACAAAAAAATAAATCAAAAAAAACCTTTGTTTTTAGGTGTTCTAGAATCTGATTGTTAGCCTCATCAAATTGGTCTTTCTCTTCCCTGGATATCTGAAGACGTTTTTGAGCAGCAACCAAGGAAACATTCACCTGAACCACATTTTCACTATAAGCTAACAGTATATATAGCATGTAGATACAAGAATTTAATATGATGTGGAAACATATACGGGCACTGATAGTATAGGAAGCAAGCACTAACAGTTTGTTTGGAAAGAGGGATTTAGAGGGGGAAAAAAGGGGGGAAAGGATAGGGTTTATTTTACCTGGTTTAGATACCAATGTATGGGGGTGAGGGGAATGGAAGGAATTGCTTCCCTTCATAGTTTAAGAAAGAAATCTCTCCAAAAAGTATTACGTACAAGATTTAAAAGGGAAACAGAAACACGGCCTTGACAATGGGGAAAAGACACTGTTATTCTTACTAATTCCATCTCTCCTCCACTGACACTCTCTTTCCCCACTCCCCCACTCACTTGTCATTTCCCTCTCTTCTAACCTCTCCTTTATCAATACATATAATTCAAACTGCTACCCCAAAATAACACTTAAAATGAAAATATGAAATTCAAGCATTGTCAGAGAAACTTTTTCAGGAGCGATAATCACTGAACAACTAAGGAGAGCTAGGTAGTCGAGGATGATCTTTAGCGAGAGAGGATGATCTAAGGATGACCTCAATTTAATGGTAGCATAGCAGGAAATGAGGGTTTCAAAGGGTGAGCATCAAAATAATTAAATAAAACAGAGGTACTGGGGCTCTGTCAGTATATATTATTCTGCCATTGATGAAGGATAGAGTGGTACACATGTAAACTGCTATGGGGAGAAACAGAAAGAAAAAAAATACCTCAAGCAAAGTTCCCTTCCCATCATACTCCTAGTCATCCAAACAAAGGAAATTTTCTCCTACCCTCCCTTCACCTCCCCCTCCCCTTATCTTCACTTCCCCATTTTTTAAATGCCTATCCAAACAAGCTGTAAAAGAGACTAGTCAAGTAGTAAAAAAACTAATTTAGTTCTTTTACACCATAGAATTCAAGATTACTAAACGATCAAACTGTAAAGCTGCTGTAGGAGTTATAACTTATAATCATTTGGGTATAATCCAAAAACCAATTCAAGCTGAACTAATTTTACAAATTTGGACTCAATCTAATTAGGAGTTATAATTTCACTAATTTCATGTAGCCGACCCCACCACCTATGGGATTAAGGCTTTGATTGATTGATTGATTGGACTCAATCTATATAAACCAGAAATATATATCGGATTTGGATAAAGGATTCAGATCAAAGAAAAAATAAAGTTAGACATATAAAGCTCAATAACTTGTTCTTCCTTTGAACTCAAAGAAACCAAAGAGTGCTCACGTGACTCATGTCACCAAAAGAAGTCCCAAGGGTTCCTCTAATTAAACAGATTTTAGCCCCTGTCCTCCATAGACATCTGATGCAAGCACATTTGTAAGAGCCTGGTCTCATTTTAATAGAAAAAAGAGAAACTCACAAACAATAAAGAGACAGAATTAAACAAATAAAGATGTTTTTTTCCTGAGAACTGATTATTCTAACAATTTTCTTTGCCAACACCTGATGAAGGAATCAATAATGTTTTATGTCTGGAAACTTTTAAGGGTTGGAAAATCTGGAGGATGTTTAACAATGAGGGTGAAAATGATAAAATTTCAAATCTAATAAACAAACTCGACATATCAGATCCAAGTGGAAAAGTTAAATGCTCGAAACATCACCCGTAAGCATTTATGAGTATTAAAGATTACTTGTACTAAATTTTAGCAACCTCAGCCCCCCCCCCCCCCACCCCACCCCCGAAATAAAAAATAGACACAAAACAATAAAAAGGTTGAATAGACATTGAAACTATCTAAACAAAAAATAAAGTGCAACCTTTACATCCACTTCGTTGCAACAATCCATAAAATTGCTGACTAATGTTGATTGAAAATACAACTCTTGTCAAAGAACCTAAGCAGGTCTCTTTGATAAATGGGTTTATAACCTTGAGAAAGATATGTTAATTTATCTTTATCTATTACGGAGTATTCATTATGAATATATATTGAAAATCAAAATATGCACATAGAAATTAAGAAATGTCATCCATTATGAAATATGGGTGCATAAAAATCAAAATATGTATTGAAAATTATGAAAACAGAAAAGTTGCAAACTGTAAATTTTTTGGATATTAATGAAATATTTAAATATTTTGTACTGTATAATTTTTTTGAAAAAAATGAAAGTGCCGTGTCCCTACACCCGTGTCCAAATACAGGACACTGTCCCCGTGTCCTAAAATTTTGGAAATTGACGGATCGGACACTCGGACACGTGTCCGCGTCCGACACACGTTCCCGAGTCCATGTAACATAGCAAATAATAATTAAGATAAAAAATAGTTAAAGTAAACCTATTAATCGTTGTTGTTATATTATTTTGTTACTATAGGAAAATGCTATACTTAGCCCTTAGGGCTACATATAAGCATTAAATACACACTAGGAAATTGTATAAATTAAGGAAATCATAAAAATATAAACGCTAATTACACTGATTTACGCGTGTTTTTGTCGTGAATTTCTAATTTTATACAATTTTCAACAATGTATTTAATGCTTATATATAGCCCATAGGCCTACATATTGCAACAGTGAACAAATCAAACAGACATTTTGGATTAGAGAACCAAAAAGCCCTGCATGTAAAGCTCATAAAAGACAGGCATTAGGGAGAGAAAAAAAAATAAAAAATAAACCAAAACAAAACAGGAACCTTTTTCAGTTCTGCTTCAAGCTCTATTTTTTTCTTCTCAAGTTCTGCAATTTCAGTACCTAATTCCTGGACCGACAAGAAACATTCAAGTCAGAAATTAGTCAGAAGCAAGCAAAAAGTAGAATTCTTTTTCCCGATGGTATTAAAAGTTATGAAACTGAAAAAAAACACTAATCCTGAATTATAGGGTAAAGTACCAATCAGAGATTCTAATTAATTCCCGTAGATAATTAAAGCACAACATAAGGAACTTCACAAAGGCAAATGCAAATCTGCATACAAAAGCCTCAAACAGCTAATTAAGAAACAGCAAGATCATCGAAGTCCTCAAGCCCCAACTCCTATAGTTACGGTACCATGCAAATTGAAAAAACAGAACATGATCAACCATCACTGCTTTGCAGGGCTATAATAACAAGTACCTTCTCCATCTCACTATTTTCACTTTCTTTAGACACGCGAAATTTCAGAGCCTCCTCTTTCTGGGATCTGTCACATTGGCAAACATATACGGTCAGTAATAATTTGATATGCTAACAAATAACCCTTACAACAACCTGGTAAGTTGAGTGCTTGAGCATGCATAACCTAATAACAACAGGGGAAGAATTTCAACAAATTTGTAATACTCTAACAGAGCAACAAACTGGATATAAATGCATAAACAAAAACACACCTCACTTGGCTACTTGCATATAATAAACTATTGTGTATGTAATCTTCTGCATGACAATGCTGTCCTATGCCTTTGGTTGTGGAGTATCAAATTAGTCTACTTACTCGTCAAGAACTCTAATGAGAATAGCTTTTATCCTATAGTAGCTTCGGGACCGTTGTAAATATAGTATTTGTATAATTTGCTGTTGTATGGTACTTAACTGTCCCACGTAATATATTGCCCTATTCATGTGCTTATTTTGACTGATTTGTTCTAACAAAAACGACAAATGTTATAATGAAAATGTTCTTGGAAAATTTATAATGTACAAAGTATATTTTACAATATCAAATTTTTGCAAAATTTGCTGACATTTAAACATATTAATGTTCAAAGTTGTGCGTTGGCAAATGTGCCAAGTCAAAATTGGATAAGGTATCATAAGTTCCAGAAACTTATCTCAAGGGTCTGTTGTCAGGTAAAAGAGAACAACAGAGTGTATATAACAAAGTAACACACAAAATGGCAGAAAGTGGTACAGATATGTGGAAAGTGTCCATGTCTATGATACTCTTCCATACTGGAAGGTTGAGATAAAGTCAGATATTTCTCATCCTAAGCAAAGGTTCACCCATAGGCCCAAGAGTTGCAGTTCTAAGAGGGTCAAAAGAACAGTAAGTTTATATAAAAGGGAACAAAGCCCTGTTCTGTTGCTAATATTTAGCAATATCAAATACCAATGTAACCAAACAAGTCACCTAGGAAACAGAAGATGCGGCCTGGAGAAGAAATTAACTAAGTACAAACCAATTTGTAAGGATAAACATATGAAAGCATGAATCCTCTTTTGGCAAATGCCACAAACCCTGATTAAGGCTTAGTTCTGCTCAGCATGTTAAATAAGTTTCAGATATATTTATTTTTCCAGCAAAAAGAAGATAAGCTAAGCAAAAATAAGTTCAGCATTAAGCTGAGGAGGACCGAGCTAAAATGAATAAACAAGTGGTGATACAGGACATTAAAAAAAATAGTATAATGTCTCAAAGTGAGACTAGATTACTGGAATATGAAATTATTGCCAAAATTTGCACCAAGAAAAATAAAATATTACCAAATAAATTATGAAACATCAGGTACATACTGCAATTCTTACCTGGTATCTACTATTCGCTTCTCAGATTTTGTAGAAGAATTCGCCAGAGACTCAGATAAGACTTTGAGTTTATCAATCTGCTCTTCAACATGTAAAAACAAAGCTACATCAGTTCAAAATGTCTAATCTCAACTCTCAAAGCTCACATGACATGCTCTGAAATCAAAAGGCCATACTTTTCTCACTTTTCCCCCTCAATTGTTATTCAAGCTACCATGAAGTGTTCTATAAGATCAAGTAATTAATAGAAGGCCAAAAGGAATCCTTTTAGAAAAAGAGATGGATTAAAAGAAAGTATAGGTTGGTAGCAGGAATATATAAAGGCGTAAAACTATGTACAGGGAAAAAGAGAGGAAGAAGGAAAGAGATGGAGACGGAGAAAAGTTTCACGATTTGTACCAATGTTTCAAAGCCAAACAAAATCCAACCAAAAAATTGAGTATTCCGGTCAAACCCAATAGTTCAGGCATTTTACAGAAAACATTTGTACAGTTTAATCACAGTTTTTAAGATCCAAATTATAAGGAGAAACCTGTAAATGAGATAGCAATGCACAAACTGACCTTATGAGTTATGACACTATTGATAAGTATTTACCAAAAAAAAAGTATTAACTAAACAACTTTCCGATTCTCTGAAAACAACTTAAAACAATGCCATAAATAAGCAAGGCAATAATATCAACAGAGGGCATCAAAAGACTGCAATGAATAGAAAATCACACACACAAAACAAAAAAAAAAAAAAGAAAAAAAAAAACCAGCAAAAAGATTACACACCTTTTGAGCATGAATTTCAGGGGTGTCTCCATTGTGTAATGATTGCTTCCTAACCAACAAACCTTCCAGCGTAGAACAAAGGCGGATTTGTGCAAGTGCTTGTTTTAAGCCCTAAAACGAATAATTAGATGGAAAAAAATGATCAAATATCTTATTGGGACCGTATCACATAGCCCTAAAACGAATAATTAGATGGAAAATGATCATATATCTTATAGGGACCATATCACATAGCTACAAAAGTAAACAACCCAACATTGTAACACATAAAGCAGTGAAGCACAGACTGATAAGTAACTAGAAAATGAGAGATCGTAAGCTGATAACAAACCGAACACATAGATCTACATGAATATCTTTAACTCGTATTTCTACCAAAGCAATGTAGGAAATTACCATATTCATTAGCATAAGAGCTAGGCTAATCCACATGCTACATGGCCCAACATCAACCCCCAGTACCCTCACAACCTCAATAAGCTTACACCAAAACAACAAGCAATATTAAAAAATAGGTAGTCTCACTCTCACCACTAGCAAAATATAACAAAAACATTGAGCAGGGCTCTACTTGAGATCCAAATAAATAATTATTATACTCAGTATCATAAGTTTAGAACATTCCATAACAGTTCTTGAGCCAAAACCACTCACCAAATTTACACAATTTTTAGAAAAAATAAGATAACCACACATATATTTAAAATACAAAAACCTTGCCTAATGCTTAGGTGGATTCATAAAAGTTTACAAACAATCCAAGACTATCTACATGTTCAACTTTCAATTTATATCTTTTTGACAACAAACTTTCACATTATCATACTCAGTTGTTTTTAAAAAAAAGTTATCAATCACAAAGTAATTTTATTGTTTTGACTCTATCAAGTCAAGAACATGAGCAAGGATAAATAAAATTCATGAAACCTTTTACCTTATTAAGGTGATTGGTAGTGGAGGTTGAGCATTTATACTTCATAATTAAAACGCATAGCAAGAGTTTCTGAACAAGCAAAGAAAAATAGACCTTTTTTTCTGGCTAATTTATATTTTCTAGAAAATAGAAGTCTACTCATCTCAATATTTCTTATATGCTTATTTAGCAACAATAATAAAAATTTCTAAGAGATTTGTAGCTATAATTACTTCATTAACACACCCATCACCCCTATACAACCTCTTCTTGAAATTTAATGAGCCCATCAAGAGGCCTATATCATGGGTCCAACTAAATTTCACATTTCTTAAAAAAAAAAAAAAAACAAAACAAAACAAAAAAAAAAAGTAATTTTGTGGGAAACTAAGTATTTTACCTTTGTATTTTCATTTTCATTTTTTTTACTTTTTGGTTCTACACAATGTAGATACGTAGATTAACAAAAATTTTAAAAAGGATGCAATAAAAAGGTAGAGAGAATGAGTTAAAAACCTGGTGGGTGAAAGAAAAAGGTATATAAAATAAGAGAGCAAGAATGGAAAGGTGTAAATATTGTAAGGTAAGAGGCGAAAGATAGTAAAAAAGACCACTAAAGCTGTCACCGCATACAGATAAAACTTGGGCAAAAGATATTTTACTAGGTCAATACCTAGGACAACAGTGACGGAGCCAGAAATTTCATTCCGGGGAGACAAATGGACATCGTATAATTTTTACAAAAATGTAGCAAAAATAATTCTTGACATATAGATAGTTAAATAGTATCCATTATATTTGCTCATACAATCCAAAAAAATGAAAAAAATTAATAAATCGAACACTTGTCTATGAGGAGATTCATGGGTTTGTGGTTGGCAAGGGTTTTTGAGAATATAAATTCTCCTCACAACATTTCTTTGATTTGTAGGATAATCCATTATGTTCACTATTTTTTCTCGGATCTTGAGGAAGAAGTTAAACATCATATATATCAATTCTTCCTCCTCTGGTGGTACTCATTAGTACTTGAACCACTTATTTCCATATCACTTTTTTGAGTTTGTGGGAAATTAAGCGAAGAAGAATCATTTTCTTGGGATACCATTCTTTTAAACATGAATTGTCAAAGATCGGGTAGTTTTCCCATTGTCTTGAAATCGTTTGAATTAAGTGAACATTTAACATGTTGTAATTAAATTGAAAAATATAATCCAATAATTCAATTATCATATCATACAATTAAAATTATATAAAAAAAAATTCTTTCAAAAAAAAAAAATTAAAAAGTTAACAACTAAACAACCCTAACTTATTAATAAAGTAATAAATTCTATGATTCTATCTAAATAAGAGTGTGATTTAAAGTAATCCAAACTAATTCATAACTACATATAAAAAATTAACGAACAAACAATAACAAATTGGGATTTTTAAAAAAAAATGATTTTTTTTAAGTGGGGAACAAGTGTCCCCCCTTGTAACCCTCTCCTCAGCCCCTGTAGTACAGGATCAAATTTTGATCCAGACCTAAAACAAGGACTTTGTAAGATTTTATCATTCCAACTCAAGCCAAAGCTGCCAAGATATATTTCCAAGATACGTTAAATCAGAAAATGTCTGCAATCCGATCCTTCACAATCAAACCCAATTTTCTAACCTCGCTACTAATACTCTGTAACTACATATGGACACCATGATGTTTGGTAATCCCTGATCCTAGAAAGATATATCCTTTCATGCAAGACAGCATCTATGAATAGATTTGCACTTGTATAATGGTGTAAACAAATACATGAAAATAGCCGTGATTGTGCAAAATATCTCTCTTCCCTATCATTTAATTCCAAAACTTTCCACTCGCCCTACACTCACAGTTCATCCCCAGCCCCCACCTCCCCCCCTTCCCCTCCCCAACAACAACAGCAAAGCCTAAATCCCAAAATGATTTGGGGTCGGCTAACATAAATCGTCATAAGGAATCGTCCAATATAGAAAAAGGGACATAACAAGATAATTAGTTGAAAGAGTAAGAAAAAAAAGTGTGTTAAGTGAGAAAAAGAAAGAGCATCCAAGTAAAAATTAAGAGAATTTTACAAGAGAACCAAGAATAACATTCAAGAAAGTTTCAATGGAGTGGTAAAAACGTTCGAGTAAAAAACACACAAGGTTTGAGAAAACTTTAACAAGGGAACTCAATACAGTTCATAAAACACAAATTGGGTAAATTAGTGAAAGATGAATGAAAACAAATCAAGACAAAAACAATAAAACAGAGGGGCAAAAGAACCTTAATCATGATAAAAAACAAATCAAAGGCAAATGAAAACCTTTTCAATTCCCTCACATTTATTTGTACAAATTAGTGAAAGATAAAGTATAACAACCTACGAAATAGCTACCAATTCTAATAATGACATAGTATCATGGAAAAACTAAAATCATTTAACTAAATGCTTAGATCACAGCAGATTGAGAGGTGAAAGGAACAAGGAGAGATAAAATAAGATTAGAAATCAAGTACCATCCCAGGACATCAGTTTGCAATTGAAAGAGACTTGACAACGGAATACCTCTATTGTAGCAGTAGCAGAATCAATTAGAGTTGGCTGCATAGGACCTTCACCTGAAAGCTCTGGCGAATTTCTCATCTCATCAAGTCTTTTTCTAAGATTTGAAACTTGATTTTCTACTCTGCATTCATTAAAATAAAGTAAAAAATCAAGCAGCATAGCTTTTTTGTATACTAAGAAAAAAATATATAAAGGATATACCGAAGAAAACTTTGAAATATATCATGTAATCTTTCTCCAAATAAAAGTATTCTATTTCCAGAGTTCAAAATGTTACATAGTAGGTAAGAGTAAAAAAGGAGTGGACAGTATTGGTATTCCTTATTCTCTTCAGTTCTCAGATGTGAAATGCAAAACAGTTTGGGGATGCAACTCAAAGTTCTACAAAAATGGTTAGGTGACTATCATTATATTATATTTCCCGATAAAACAAAGTCTACCACCCTGGTTCAGCTACATATGTCAAGATTGGTAGCACTGTAGAAAATTTTAAGACATTTGAAAGTACAAAGAAGGGAACAGAGTGATGATGAGGGCTACCCTTGCCAGTACTAATCCCAAAAGCACACCAATACCATTTTGCTGATCTAGCCACACAAATGAGGTTTAAACAAAGTGCACTGGTAACGTTATTCTCACTGAACATTGTATTACACAAGCAATCAAATCCTTGTCGTTCGAGGTAAATTCAATAATCAATTAAATGACTTCTACTACCCTTACAACCTTGGACTAGAGGAAGTCAAAATAAACAAAATTCAAGGTTAGGAAGATAATGCGCAAAAGGATGCTAACGAAACATATTTAATCAATCATCCACAGGTAAAGTAAACCCTTAGTCAAATATCAAGCCAATTGAAACAGTAGCAGATGCAGAAATAAATCCTACAAAGAACTCACTACCCTACTCATTTACAAAATTACAAAAGACCACTGTTGATCGAACCTATACATCTCAGCTTGATTTGAAGGACATAATATGTGGTATGAAACATGGTTTGGTTGGTGGGTTGTTATCAAAAGGAAAAGTAAAAGGGAAAAGAGACAATGATGGTATCCAAGACCTGGAGGATTGTAAGTGTATTTTATAACTTCCCCCACACCATTAAACAAGAAAAGGATCATACCATATCCAAATTGGAAGAAAAAAAAAAACATAAATTCCCTAACTACCAATCTCGCATAATCCTTGGCACACAATCCTGTCATCTCGAGGTTTAAATATACAATCATCACCCAATAGCCCAATTCCATATACCAGGTCCCTGTCCTAACAAAATTTTATTCATAGTTGGATCTTTAGCCTTTTCCAAAAAATTACATTCCAAGGCCCTCTACTCCTAACCTCATCAACTACCTTGCAAACCAACATATACATATGAGCTCAAATTTTTTTCCAATGGCCACAAAAGCACAATGAGTCAATGGTACAAGAAGCATAGTATGAGATGAAGCCATCCCATTCCTATAAAAAATAACCTTAGTTGAAATCTTGTACAGATGGGAATGTTCCTTGCCCAAAATAGTTAGGGCATATAAAGAGCACTAGATGCTATACCATATCATACCATATATGAGTGTAAGACTGTAAGGTGCATTTAATAAGTGCAGCTTTAGAAGTGCAGCAAATTGTAGAGGAACTAATTATGGTAAGAAATTGTAAAATCATGACTAGAAAGGCATGTACCGGCTACTACTACTAAAACAATTGTTACTTGAAGAGAAATGCGATGTAGGATTTGAATGGGTCCATTCTAATCCGAAGCCATAAACAATTGTTCAGTGTTGATTAACTCATATGCAATGCTTCAAGAAAGCAATCAATGAGAATAAGTGGACAAGAATACATGTTTTCAAACTGGCCAACCGGCAAGACCATATATATGAACAATATCTAACAATATCACATAATATTCAAGGCGATTGGCTAATCAATAGTTTCACAGCACAACCAGTTCTTCTAGGAACCCATGCATTCATGCACCATTCTACATTTCTACCACTTAAGTTTTCCATAAGGAAGAAAGACTATATTAAAACTACCCAGATGACAGTTCACTTCTAGATATCAGGAATGGGGTTGAGACTTGAGAATGAAAGTAGTGTATAAAGTAGAGGATACCAGCAGCCTACTCTTTAAAGAAGGTTGTATGAATGTCATAACAATTTGAAGCAGCATTAAATTTTCAACCATATAACTTCAAAACAAATAGGAAAAAAAAAACCAACAAATATTATCTCCCTAACCTCACACCCCTCCAGGTTTATCAGCCAAAGTTAAACAGCCCACCATCTCTCTCGGTGCTCTGTCTATAACTTCACCACCTGTCTATCTCCTCGAGAAGCTAACTTTTTCCCTCTAGTTCTTCCTTCTTCCATCTCCCCTCTGCAGACAACTACAAACTCCTTTGCCCATTATAACCAACTAATCACTCATGCTACTGTATACTGAAACTTTAATGATAAACTCAACCACGAAGGATTTAGGGACCTTTGTGGCTAAAAATCAAGTAAGAAAAAGATCTAGTGCTGCTATATCATCAAAAACCATAATTGAGACTCTGGCTCCAATCTTTCCATCTACATTTTTCATCTCTTTGGTAGAGGGGGCAATAGTAGATTTTAATCGGGGAGTGTCACAGGTTATTTTATGTGAGGAAAGCTGAAAATGGTAGATTTGAAGGGGTATACAGAACTCCATAGATTCATAGAAGATGTTAAGGCAGAAGAGACTGAGAGAAAAGTTAGAAAGAGGTGGTGGATAGGTGGAGATTATGCCGGCTGGGGTAGAGCCAAGCTGACAATGATGCCACGAGGGGCAGTAGACCTGGCAAATCCTGACTAGACCCGACCCATGACTCGAAATTGACCCAAATACGACCCGAAAATGACCTGAAACCCGAAATTGACCTGACCCGACCCATACCCGATCCGAAAATAGAGTTGACCCAATCCTGACCCGACACCCGAAATTAACCCGAACAAACCCTATACCCGAAATTGACCCGAACAGACCCAATACTCGAAATGTTCCGAACTAAAATTACCTTATAATTGAACTAAAAATGTCTAGTGCCAAAAATAATTTAAATTGTTCATCTTCGCCACGCTCATAAATCGAATTGATAGTTCTTATTATAACAATATTAAAATATAAAATTATTGATTTGAGCTAAATCCACAAATTAAATGGAACAACCCGAACATGACCTGACCTGATTTTGACCCGACCCGAATACGACACGAATTGACCCGACCCGAACTCGACCCGATACCTGACCCGAGCCATACCTGAAACCCAAAATAACTGACCCAACCCGTACCCGGCCCAAGCGACTCATTTGCCAGGTCTAAGGGGCAGCAATGAAACAAGTTGGTTTTTGGGAAGGCTCGAAGGGACAAGGTCAAAGGCTTGAATCAAAACTAATTTGTTTTTGCTTTTATTTTTCCCTTTTATTCAATTTACTGAATCCATTAGAATCAATAATTCTATATCAACCCTAAGGGAAGAGGTAGGTTTACCAGAACCAAATCTGGCATTTCTTTGGTCTTCCTTTTCTACCAAGTAATACTGAGGATTCAGGTGATTCCAACCCCATATCAAACAATTACTGTCCCACCAACCAAATTCTCCCCCTTAGAGTTGTAGAAGCACATGCGCCAAGCACAATAATTTTTGTCACCCTTCACATTTATTCCACGGACAATACCCAAACAGCTACCTTGGGGGGAAGGACGGAAGAAAAGTGTAACTCCTTAGATCACAGTTAGCAATAAGAAGATTATCAAGAAAGGTAGTACATTTGAAATCAAAAACTCAAGTTTCCAGCATGCTACATTAGCAGTTTCCAGGGAGTATATCTTGATGGGTATCTAGCCCATTGTTAATCAATATAACTTTCTGACAGTTAGATGAATACACTGACCTCTTTAAATGCCATCTATGCAGCAAACTTCCTACTTATATAGAATCAAAATAATAAAAGAGCCAGTGTAATGCAAGGTTAAATGAAAAATCTGAGTTTATCAAATACCTCAGCAGTTCTGCATTTATTTTCAGCCCTGAAATTGCACCTTGAGCAAACTGTAGCAACTCCTCACGTTTTACCTACAAAGTGGAAAATTGATGAAAGTAATACATACATACAGTTCCCTGGCATCAGACCCAGGCAGTAAAATATTTAGAAAATCATTATTCTACCATCAGGTCAGCCACTAAAGAGAGCAAGGCTTGTCACTGGTAATATTTTGTTGTAACAAATTAATCAATATATCTAAATCAGTCACTGAAAAGAAAAAAGATTACCATCAATCAGCATTCTTACCAATACTTCATCTTCATAGCTTGAGAAAACTTGTGCCAGATCCTGAATACTACTTACTATAGCATGATGGACTTCTTTTCCACCAGTGAGACAGAGCCTGCATTCATTTACTTTTTATAAAAATTATCTCCGACAACAAGCAAGCAAATTTCATGATCAGAATGTCAGAGCATAAAAATTAAGTTAAATACCAAAATTATATACAAGACAGAGATACATGAAAAGCTGGTGATAGAATCACGAGTTCAGCTGATCACACATGTCTCTGCATGAAGTATTACCTACATGAGAATAATGAATTGTGTCCATGGGGATATTCTTGCAAATATAAGGGCAAAGGAAAAAAAATATTGGTTTCTACATTTTCTATAACTGTCATTAAGAAAGAGAAGAGGCTAAATGAGTTCCACTTGCAGTCTCGTGCAAAAGGAAACCCACAAGCACTTTTGAAAGGGCAGGGGTGGAAGAGGTAGTTAGAAGCAACTAAATATTCAGAAGCAGAACGCTTCACTGGTAATATTTACAAACATGAAATAGACTAAAAAAAAAAGAAAAAGAAAAAACAACTCAATTCCAAACCAGATTGACACAATCATTTCAAGCCCTGTGGCTAAAATTTCATTGTTTCTATGATGATGGAAGCTAGAAATTAAGCATTAATATGAGAATTGAGAACACATCAATTTCTGATGAGCAGCAAGGGCATCCCTATCACCAGCTCGAACATCTACCACCTTTATTGAAGCATCCTGAATGTATAGAGCTCATCACTGCCAAGGGTATAAGATGAGACTAATCATACTGGCATTGAGATCTGGCCCAAGTCAGGGTAACATCAAGAGCCCTGTGGACAGTAACTTCACTTTTCCATATGATCATCAAGTTTTCAAAAATTTGACTGTATAGTTGCACGCATAACTCTTAAGCAATGTAGACCTAGAACCAAAAAATTTCCTCCATGTTACAAAGACTCTTAATTCCTCTATTACCCGAAAGTCGACCCTTCTGACTTTAACATAGGTATGGAAACTTGACTTTTTTTTTTTTGACCAAGAACATGGAAAATATTTATTACATAGCCAAGTCAAACACTCATACACAGACAAGTCTGACACGGCCAATTAAATCTGAGTAACATAGATAGCCTTTAGTTGACACGCTAGAACAATATTTGATCCACTGCTAAAGTTGAGTGCATGTAACATTCAGCCGCCAATGGGAAATAGCATCCTCATACTCTCATAGTGATCCTTAATTATTTCAAAACTTAGAAGTTTTCTTCAAAGAATATCAAAGACATTTTTCCTGCAATCCTGTCCTATTCTTATAAATGTAATGATAATGGAAGTAATCAAATATAAGCTATTATGATTCAAAGTAGTAATAACCAAAACATACTTAATCATTCACAAACAGTTCCATTCAGACATTTGAGATAAAACAATTATGAATACTTGCACAGTACAGGATTAACCATAAAACAATACTGCATTAATCTATATCAATGACAAAATCATAGCTTTATTACCAGAAGGATGGGGTTGTCTGCATGAACCAAAATTTATGACGTGTTGAAAACCAAAAAGATCCTCTTTCTCCAATCATTTCTATCTACTGCTATATGCACCTGCAATTCTACAAACCCACTTTCTTCATGTCATATTTAACTCCCTCTATCCAACCCATCTTCACTTGACTCCTTTTGAAATCTCAATTACCCCAATATCTTCATTTCTTTGTAAACTTCATCCTAGATACTTGAAATATTCACTAGCAGGCTATATTTCATGAACACAGATACAAGTATCCAACACAAGTGCGGATCTGAGTTCCACATGGTAATTCTGAAATTTGTGGATATAGGGACACAATCCTACATTTGAATACATTCACAAGAATACAGAAATGATATATTACTCGTGATATTGTAAATTTAAATCTAATCTATTCTTTCTCTCACGGGCGGCACAGGCTCTACGCATTGTGACTTGGTTGAGGTGGCCAAAGCCAAGCGCTTTTTGTCACCTTCTGTAATGTGCTCCACCTGGCAAGGTCAAGGCGTATTAACCTGCACCTTAATTTCACCTGGAACCTAAGGCGCTTTTTAAAACTAAATTTTATGCACTTAAAATAAAAGGATAGTACTTCGTACTTGATTTTGGCTTTTCAGTTCTAGAAATAGAGCAAATACAAAGCTGTTAAATGTCCGATTGAAATGCAGTATAGTACAACATTACACTCACAAACAATAACTCATAATACAAACTAAAAACAGCTTAATATAGCTTAGACTCTGTTCTCTTCACCTTAAAAGAACAATTTCAATCAATACAAATCAATTTCATTTGCTTTTTATCCAATAAAGATCTATTTTTAAAATTTAAAAATCCATAGAACATATACAATAGTGAGTGAGCAACAATTAAAATCCATTGGCAAAAATAAGTCCAACTAAGTAAACATCAATATAAATACGGAGCAAGTAAAACAATGTCTCAGTTCAGCAAAAATCAAGTGAAGAGAACAGGCTTTAGTCATGAATTCCTGACTGCTCTGTCTTAATCCTAATATTTTCCACAGAAAATGATGCCCATCCAAATCAATAATACACAGTTTAAAACTAGGAAGAGTCTGGGTTGACTTAACTCAAAAGATTTTTAAATTTTCCAGATTAACAACTCACCCAAACATCTCCAAAAGTAAGGAGACCTCTTCCTCACTTGGTGCCTCAAGGATCTGGATCATAAAAAAGGTTGTGCTGTTAGCATCTTTCGTCAAGAAAGGCAGAGCTGAATAATCTACTGACTTTTGTTCCAAAAGACAACATAAATTCAAGTTTCAAGGAGCTTTTAAATTCAAGGAGTATATAAACACACCTAGTCTGAGTTAAATAAGAGACAAGAGGCATATAACAGTTATACAGCAAATTTACTGAGTGCATACCATTGACAGAGTTATGCCTTCAAGAGCCTGACTGTGAAGAAAAACATCCCGGAAGTTCATAGGTTCATACTGATCATCAGAATCATAAAACAGAACCTGCCCATTTACAGAAAGCAAGACAGTCAGAAATGATGCTCAAAATGCATACACAGTAATACTATCACAACTCAACATAAATATAATGGATTAAAATATACAAATACCAGTAAAAACACAAGTTCAAGGGTTAAAGCAGAAGAAAAGTTTCACAAATTCATTTGAAACTTGAAAGGATGTCTGTTCTGAAAAGTTAACCATCTGAAATACAAGGTCAAGCCTTTATGAACAATTACACCACATTACACACAAAGAGAACGAGGTTAACAGCATTACACTGATGCAAGACTCCATAAACAGGGTGGGTAAACCAAGGTTGACATTGCAAGTGTTAGTTTAGCATACAAGATAGTGACTAGACCTACAGTTTAAGAGAAAAATAATGATACACAATGTAACTTTGATTTTTTATCTATCAAACCAACAACATATAATGTACTTATCATGAAGAAACAATTTGAGAAATCAGAGATAACCATTTAAAGATAAGAATATTTTCATCAATAAAAGAGATGGAAGAACCAATCTTCTACTGAACATCAGGAGATGAATTACATACGATAGGTAAAAGAGCACGGGACTAAATAGAGGTTTAATATAAGAAATTAAACAAATAGATAAAAATAGAAATAAATAAATTACCAAAAAAAAAAAAGGCTATTCTACAAAGGAACCGGAGTTAGAAGGGAAAGAAAGAAGCATGCCCTCAAATTTTGCAAGCCTAAAAATCAAAATAGACCCCACTGGTAATAAGTATTAATTTAGCTGGGAATAAGGAGTATAAAGGATATAAACCTATATATAAAAAAATTAAATCAATAAAATGAAATATAAAAAAGAAATAAAATACAAATAAAAAATACAAAAATTATATTAAAAAATAAATAAATAAATAAAAAATAAAAATAAAAATAAAACACTGCTCCTTGGAATTATCTTGCAAAATAATACTACTACCTCCATCACTCACCGATTTACCAATTTTACCATTTAGAGATGTCTTAAAATATAACCTTTTTCTTTTTTGGGCTAGGAAAACATCTCAATTCTCAAGTCAACTCTACTTTTATTCACATTTCAATATTAAATTACAAACTATCTTTCATCACATCTACTTCTTCTGTCCCACAATTAAAACAGTACCCACAATCTTTAATCATATACTTCCTCTGTTCTTTTATTAATCGCAACGTTTGGAATTTGACACTAATCATACATACTCCTTTGACCTTCTATTGTGATTTGTACGTTGGGAAAAATATAGTCATGAAGAATCTTGTTAGATACATCTCAATCTATACTTTCTATTATCTAAAATCAACTTTTTTTTAATTTTCACTAAAAGATATTCAGAGATATTAATGATATAAAATGTGCAATGGCAAGCATGAAACCCTGGTTGTTACAATTATAAAAGAACAAAGGAAATATATTATTTCTCAATATATTATTGTTCAATATATAGCCAACAATGCCATCTAGAGCCCTAGTCTCTTGGTGTTTGTATCATGTACAGCAAAGGCTAATTTATAAGTCTTGAATTTTCACTTTGTTCTACTTGAGTAGACAGGTGAGATAGGTTAAAAAGGGGAAGTAAACATTGAGATAGGTTAAAAAGGGGAAGTAAACATTGAAGGTTTGCACTTGTATAATGAATTCAGAGGCTAAAAAAGGAGTGTTGCGACTGTAAATTACATAATACTAGAGGACTTCTGTCAGAATGGGATCATGTCGAGTATCAACAATCCAGTGAAATTTTAATTATTTCACATAATTAGAACTTTTTTAAATTAACTACCATCTGTAGAGTTTTTATGATAACTACCTTTTACATAACTCTTTCTCACTATTCGTCATATCTAAGGCAGCATGACCTAAGAAAAAATGATTTATTACAAATTTACAACCTTTGAATGAACACCATTTTGCCAAACAATGGTGAGCAGGAAAAGTGCTAAAGTCTAATCAGAAAATGTAAGGATAGAAAAATGTTTATGGCATCTGGCTCCAATGGTCAACTTAGATTCAAATGGTGATAAATTCAGGGACAATTTAGGGTTTTTTAACGATTAAAATTTAGATAGTAATTTACAAGAAAAAGTCACAGAAGAGAGACTTATATCATAGAAAAAAGAAATCTTATCAAACAAGTTTCATTCCAAAAAAAAAACTATACCATAAGTACTTTTTGGCAAAGTTTCCAAATTTTGCACACATCTTAAAGCAATGTGAATGTAACTATATATACATGTGGCAATCATGAAGAAGTGAGGGACTGCCTCACACCTACACTCCTCATACCTCACAACTGTGCTATAGAAGATTATAGTTAGAAAAAAATAATAAGAGTTATGTGCTTAGAAGTCAAAGAGGTTGCCTAGCACAGATTTACTTACCAAAGATGGTTTCCTTGTGTTATCATTGGTTTCATCATATTCAAGATGCTGCTCAAGAGTCATTACAGTATCTTCAGTTGAATCTCCCGATAGCTTCTCAATTTCATTTAAAAGATTTAACCATCTCCTCAACAGCTGAACTCTTTCTGGCCCTTGGCAGCTGACAGAGGCCTCCTCCAATCTCTTGACAGCAAGCTTAAAGCTTTTATGGTTCCGAGTTCCCTGCAATTTTGTTTTATTAGAAGATTTAGAAAGCCTTCTAAGCAAAAGATTCAGAAACTTAAAACCGGTAAATTATACCTAAGACAATAGCATATAATACACAAAATAACCAATTGTTATCACAGAAACACGGAGTAAACAAAGAACTTACACAATGACATCTTCATTGTTTTGAGGTACACAACCCAAATTTCAGATACACATAGGAGCAAATTAAGCTTATTAATATGTTAACCCTTTATTTATTAGATAGAGTAAATCATTAATCAAATTATCAGCCTGATGCCTCTTTACATCAGTGGTGTACTGGTGTGGTTATAAGTCTTAAAATCTATGGACCTCTAAGGTTGATAGAAAACAATATATTCTTGTCTAATTTCACAGAAAGAGTATCTGCTTTTAAGAAAAAATGAAACATTTGTCTGCGTAGCTTCATTTTTGTGTGCACCCACTAGCTGATTACAGGTTTAGAATCTAAGCCTTTATCAAGACCAATTGCATTACAGATGGAGTTCTCTGGCAAACAATCCTCACATTGTGGGCCTGAATTTGATGGCCAATGCTCAATGTCCACAATGAAGAGATATATCGTACTCTCTAAGATTATTTGTCAAAAACTACATACTAGACGTGCACTTTTGAAAACAATGACATTTTATTTTAATTTAAAAAAAAAAAATAAAAAAAAAAAAAAAAAAAAAAAAACAATAAAAGTTGGTGTAGTTCTACCTCATCTTAATATCTTCCGTCACATTTCTTCATCTATGGGACCTACTTTTCAATTTTCTCCAAAATAACTTTCGTTCTTTGACGAATTGTTTGTATATGTGATTGTTTTTACACAAAACTCACTCTAAAATTCACACTTTAAAAATTAAAGCTACAATGAGCACTCAAAATTGAGTGAGCTTACATCTAACATGTTTTTCTTCAATTTTGTAAATTATTGATTGATGTGCAATTGAAAATATAGGGTTTTACTTAAGTTTACTTCCTACCCATTTTAATTTTTAAGGGCTCGTTTAGCATTGCTGTGATTTTCTGTTTTTTGGTTTTTTGTTTTTCAAAATCATATGATATGTCATATAATGAATCAAAAATTAGTTAAACTTGTTAAAATCATGATAATTTTGAAAAATGACAACTGAAAAGTGGAAACACCTTTTTCTTGTTTCCTTTTTAGGTTTTTTGTTTTCAAAAAAGCAGAAAACTGAAAACAAAAAATGATGCCAAACAAGCCAAAATTAGGGTTTTCAATTTGGGTGTTTTTAGTTCATTTTGGAGGTTTTAGGGTTATCGGGTTAGAAATAACTAACTGTTTATAATTGATGATTGAGAAGAGTATTGAATAAGGGAGAGGTTTGAATTTTCAGTGAATGAAACCTATAATGTTCATATTTTATATTTTTGTTTTGAGGCAATCATTATATTTAATTTCTCATATTATTGTGTCAAGTATTGTGAGAATGAAAGAACATAGAAGTGAGGAAGGAATTGAGTACAGGAATAAAGAAAATGGAATAAGGATGATGAAGACAATAATATATAGGGGCATATATGACATTTCAAGTGGCATAAAATGGAAGGAGGTGAAAAAGTGGGGCCCTTGGAAGGAAAAATATGCTATGAATCAATATTTAGGGGGTAGGGATTTTTAGGTATTTGCATTATGTGTTAGTAGGGTTGAATAAGAAGATAGTTAATTAGAAAGAGAGCTATATAAATTGAGCTAATTAGAGAGAGAAAGAATCATGATGAATATTGTGAAATACAGAGAGAGAGAGCCTTGGGAGAGAATCCACCTCTGAAAAGAGAAATTATCCTTTACTTGTAATTTCAACTTATATCAGCTAAATGCCTCCTCCTTGCTTAATTCTTTCATTTAATTACTTAAATCAATCCATAGCTATGCGAATTCATATAAAAATGTCACACAAACCGTGAACAGGTTGTGTTAGTGAAGCTTTTGTTGTTTTAAAAGTAGTTTAATTAAAACAAAAATATAAACAAAAGTTTATACAAGTATTAAAATAAGACAACACATGACTATGTTTTTGATGTACTCATGCACCCACTTTTATTTTCCAATTTTCAATGCATATCAAGACGATTGAAATTAGACACCACATAAATACCGGTAAGATTCATGGTCAAACTATGAGCTCTTCAATCGGAGTGCGTAGTTTCCGACAAAAAATCCTACTCTCTATTCATTATTTTGAGATGCAACTATAATTTTGCAAGTTAGCTTAATGTTTTATATTCAAGCTAGCACATACACTCATCTAAACAGCAAAATAGATTAAATTTTTAAAAGCATGCGGAAAATCCAAAAGCAAGTTTGAAACATATGTTTAGTTCCTAAACTTAAATCTCACTTGTGGTGACGAGCAGTTGCAATCCTTGTTAATACTTTCACCATCTTTAGGGGAGTAAGAGAGCATTAGGTTTCTCATCAAATCCTTGGATTCATGTAGAGTTAAGAAATATGCCTTTGCTTTTCTAATTCACCAAAAAAAATGAGTGAATGTCATTTGTGAGCCCCACAAGACTTGCATTAAAATGAAGTTGTTTACTACCTCCGTTAAATATTAGTTGCAACTTTGGGTATTATTTGTGAGATATAAAATATTCCAAAATTGCAACAAATATTTAACGGAGGTAGTATAAACTTTCTGTTATTCTCTATCCTAGTTTTTTTTATGTTGTTGTCTAATTAACTCCATTAGGTGCTAATGTGCTGTTGATTTATTTTAAAAAATTAAACTTACAAAATTTATAAAATAAATAAATAAATAATAAAAACTTATTTTTCAAGAACAGGACTTTACTTTTGTATCTACGCCATTGTTGGAGCTTGTTGTATAGATTTACAATAAAATTTTGGTGGAATCTGAAGTTTTGACCAATATTTTAGTTTTGTTTACCAATCCAATTGAAAAGGACAAAAAGGTTCTTACAATACTATTAGAGACCCCATGCATTGTGCTAAAAAAGGTTCTCATGTGTAATCTCAAGGATTATTTCTCGTAGATCTTAGATAGGAAAGAAACAAGCAACGCTAGTACTTTTTTTTTAATAGAGCAACGCTAGTACTTTATAGCAAGTTAAAAGCAATAGAAAATGCAATGAAGCATTTCAATTAATCTCTTATAACTAAAGCAGCAAATCAGCAACTCCATGACCTCTATTAAAAAATGGACAAAAAAATTAAAGAAAGTTCTAACATTTCTCTCCCCCATTTATGCAAAACAAAGAAAATTGAAGAGTACAACATACCATGCCCTTCGCAAACCGTAATGTTACGTTTGGGTTATAGAGCTATAGTGAAGAGAGAGATGTTATTCATAGAAAGATAATTGAAAAAGTTTATGCAAAACAAAGAAAACGGAGAGTACAATATACCATGCCCCTTGCAATCCATTACTCCCTTTGTACATTATTACATGCTCCACTTTCCTTTTACAGCCGTATTTCATTACTTGCTCCATTTCCTTTTTTGGATACCTTTCACAATATTTTAATAATTTTTTCTCTCATAGTGGACCCCCCAACTATCATACTTTAATATTTCCATAAACTCTCTCCTCCCAACTATCATACTTCATTCTTCCACCAACCCCACTTCCTTCATATTTTATTACTTTTGATTATTTCTCCTAAGATTCCGTACATGGAGAAATGGAGCAAGTAATAAAATACGGAGGGAGTAAATGTTACTTTTGGGTTATAGTGCTACAATGAAGAGAGCGGTGTCATTTAAAGAAAGATAATCTAAAAAGGAGCTTGCAAAATTATAATTTGAAATCAACTAAAATAGTGAATAATAAGGTCTTAACAGTTGTTTCCTTAACAGGGCATGCATCTTGACTGAGAGGTCTAGTTATTCTGTTTAGTAAAATCCCATTATAACCTGTTTGACATAATAAAAACGACTTATGGTATCAAGTAAACAAAGCAAATAATAGACGCCCAAAGTGATGTTTTGTTGTAACTTGTAAGACAGCCCCAATTTAGTGTACCATTGAGAAGATATGAAGGGTTAGGAAATGTGCTGGAAATGGTTGGCAGAGGGAACAAGGGAGGGTGAATTAAATTTTTTTACACAAAATGTTTTTTTATTTAAATCTGAATTGTTTTGATCAACATGTTCTTAGGAGAAAAAACTTAAGCAGGATGAAGGTGAGATAAAAAAACTCTCACTTAAGCTAAATACCTGTAGCAAACACAAAATTATTCTTTTTATATTACTTAACCCCTGGCTTATTTTAACCAAACTACTTTGGACTTCACAAAAAATATTATAGTGACTATTTTAGATCCATAGTCTCCATACAGAAATAAGATATTTCACCATAGACCCTTCTTAAGCTTATCTCACCTCTCTAAACACTGCCAACACAGCACAAAATCATGTACTTCACCAATTCCAACCCTTAGAGCCTAAAATGGCCTAATTTTAAAACAATACCAATAGCAATTTGCTTATATTTGATTCTTGAAACAAAAATGGTAAACAAAGGGGTTTCTTCTCCATTGATTTTCGGCATATTCCACATTGCCAATCCAATGTAAGTTGGCTTACAATAATCACATACATTCACTGTGACTCAAATAGGCTTAATTTCCAACCATAGACATCACGAATCAGCATTAACAAAACAAAAAGGCAATGACTTCACAAAATAATAACTAAAATGTTTACCAATTTAGCAGCAGGGGCAAACTAACCCAAACTCAGGTAGAGCTAAAAGGTGCTACGGTAATGTGGTATCTCTTAGACTCATACAATTATAATGTTACATACTACCTCCGTTTCATATTATGTGCAACATTTACCAAAGATGGATGCTACACATTATATGCAACAAATATTTTCTTTACCTTTTAAGTTGTCATATCTCTCTATCTCACTCTTAATCACATGCATTTCTATCAAATAAATTTTGTCTAGGAGTCCGTGCCAAGGTCTTTGTTGCACATAATATAAAACGGCAGTAGTACAAGTACATTTTACCGTGGTGCTTCGGATAATTCCGGTCCTATATGCCTTGTACCAACATTCAGTATCGAAACACATAAATTCAATAACCTAAGAAGTGAAATTTCCAAATGCTGCACTATTTGAAATTAATACAGTAATGAACAATACATTATCATTTAAATAGCTAATAAAATCCAATTGACAGAAAGAAGAGAGGGAAAACTAACAATACGATCTTGGAGGAGCTTGGCGCCTTCAGCAACAGCTTGACCAGCATGCTGGACGACAGAATCGGCGTAATTTTTGACGGTGCGAGTGATATTGTTCTTGTTTCCAACCTCCACTGCCCTGCTCACCGCCGTCCTCAGCCACGACATTTTCCTTCACCAAAATGATCCGAATTTCTTGCAGAAATCGTTAATGGCGGTTACCAGAGAAATCGAAATGAAATTATACGAAGAAATTGGGGATTTCGTAGCTTTGATTTGTAGCTTCAATGTTTAATTAGGGATTTCAATTGTTGTTTGAAGGTCAAAATGGTGGTTTTGGTTGAGAAAGGGGAGAAATTGGGGGAATATTTGGAGAAATGAGAAAAATTCAGCGTTTTCCTTCAATTTGACAAATGCAAATCCCCGACCCGTTTGAATGCAGGTTTTTGACTTGGTTTTACACTTTGGCCGTTTGGCGCTCCTATTTTGGACCCAAATTGTTTTTTGTGGCAAAATTGTTTTTTCTTTTCTTTTTTGGGAATCAAAGAAATTACTTTCCAGCTCAGAGTCTGTTTGGCTAAACTTTTAGAAAACAACTTCTGTTTCCTAGAAGTAGTTTCTTTCTAGAAACTATTTCTTAAAAAACATTTTACAAAAATAGAAGTGTTTGGCCATAGAGTTGTAAAAGTATTTCTAAGAAACAGAAACAATTTATAATGTTTGGCCTATAATTTGTTCTAAAAGTTTTATATCTTTATTAATTTTTGTAAAAAACATATGTATTTATTTTTTAATGGGATTTATTTATTATTATTGAGTAAAGAATAAAGTAAATTTTAATTAAACAATGTCACATTTGCAAATATCTCCTCACTGTTGCAAATATCTCCTCATTGTTACTCTGTTAGCCCACCATATTTCTCAACAACCCACATCCAAGAGCACCGTATTTATATACATGAGACATGTGACTCAATTCTGTTTCCTAGAAATAGCCTTTAGATCTAAAAATTCGAGTAAGACAAACAAAAAGTGAAGAAGGGTCAATGACCACATGTGACTCAATGTTACATGAGACATTAGAGGTGTGATGCAGACTTGAAGAGGTGAAAGAAGTGGTTTGGAGAGAGAAGGCAGAGGTGATAAAATTGGGTTTGTCTTTATAATTAAAAAGTGTCATTTTCTACTTTTATGAGGGCATTATTGTCAGCGAAAATATCTAATTAAATTAGCAAAATAGCTCCACGAGAAACGGTATTGAGAAGCTCCAAATTGCCGGGGAGCACATTTGGGCTTTTTGAGAAACAGAAACTTATTCTCTATTTACCCTTGTTTGGCCCTTTTTTTAGCTTCTTAGGTGTAGAAACACTTTTAGAAGCTTGGCCAAAGAGGCACTTACTCACTTCCGTCATTCTTTTTTACTTGACCTAACTTTTTAGGATAACGGTAAAAGGCAAATAATAAAGTGTCATTGTTCGGCACAAGAGTGTTGTTGTACGACACAAATTGTCGGTTTGACAGATTTCACACGTTTTTAAAACTTCCATAACTTTTGATCCGTAATTTGGAATAAGGCATATAATACGAAGTATATCGTTAGAAAGATCTTGAAGTCTACTTTACAATTCCATAAGAATTGAGTCAAATCTTTTGTATATTTTAAGATATGGTTGTTTGAGTGCAAGGCGTCGGTTTTGGGTCGAGCTTAAGTATTTTGCTCATATCTTTTTCATTTTAAATCGGAATTGGGCTTATGATATATCGTTGAAAAGTTTGTTTTACGACCTATTCAACCAAATAGTTGGTATACACTAGACCCTAGTGTAGGTAGCCCAACCTACACTCCCTCTAAACGCAGCGTTTAGAGTTACTACCCACACCCCCTCCACTAACCCACAATAATTACCCACTCCCCACAATAACCACAGTAACTGCATAACTAACTTCCCCTACCCCACATATATATACATAAAAAAAATAAAAAAAAAATCAATTTCAAATCATTCTCTCTCTCTAAACACCATCTTCTTCATTTCTCTAGAGTTTCTCTCTCATCAAACCCAACGAATCGGAACAAATTTCAATTTAAATCACTGAAAAATTGCTTCAAAATACTCCAAAATTGCTTCAAATGTCTGATATTCGAGAAGAAATTAAACAATCACAACAAAAAGAGTAAGTAATTTCGTTAGTTTTGTTCATTTTTTGAGATTGTAGTGCAATTTTATGTGTGAAACCTTAATTTTGTTCATTTTGTTGCGATTGTAGTGCGATTTTGCAAAAAACCACTACAGAGAAGAACATGAAAGAAGAAACTGCAAAATCGGAGCAAAATGTATCTAAAGAGTAAGTAATTTTGTTCATTTTCTTTCGATGACAATTATAGTGCGATTTTATGTGTGAAACCTAATTTTTGTTCAATTTTTTGCAATTGTAGTATGATTTTGGAGAAAAATACTTCACAGACGAGTAATTTGTTGAAAATTTCTGAAGAAATGTATGAACCCTAACTTTTGTAAAACCTAATTTGTTCATATTCTTGCGATGAAAATTATAGAGCGAATTTATTTGTAAAACCTAATTTTTGTTAAAATTTTTTGCGATTGTAGTAATTGTTCTAAGATTTTACTGAAAATAACTAAAACATTAACAATTTATTAAATAAAACAGAGACGATGATGATGATGTACCTCTTCAGTCAAGAGTAGACAAATTGAAAAAAAAACCGCCAAAATGATCCAATTGTAGATCCGGAACTTTTAAAAGATATTGACAAGTCAATTGGTACGGATTTAACAATGTCTCCACTACCAAGGTAATTAGTCATTTACAGAATATATTATGTTCATGTCTAATATGCTAGTTGTATTTGATAAAATTGGTTTTATCTTTGTTTAATATGTTATTTGTATATGATCATATTTGATACTCATAATGTTCATTTATAGATATAGTTATGATCATATATTTATATTTGTTCATATGAGTATTTATTGAGATTTAAAAACAAAAATACATTTCATTGAAACATCATTGTATATGATCATATTTGATACTCATAATGTTCATTTATAGATATAATTATGATCATATATGTATATTTGTTCATTTGAGTAGTCATTGAGATTTAAATAACAAATATACATTTCATTAAATCATCATGCACATATATAAATATGATAATAATCATTTCAGTGATATGCATTCAAACTAATGTCATGTAATTAATTTATAATGTAGTGATGTGCCATTTAGAGTGATACACTTGCTTCAATTTAGAGATGGGAAATCTGAACCATTAACTCTAAAGAAGGTTATAGAACAAAATGAATATGGTAATAGTTATGAAAGATACACTTTAAACAAGTAAGTTTATATGTATAAAATAATTGTTTTTACATTCAATTATTGTACATTGTATATATATACCAAACTTATTAGGTAATTCTTAAAATTTTAGTGAAAAAAAAAAGGTTCGAGTGAAATTTGTTATGTCAAAATCAAGACCACCAGAGACAAATCAAACAATAAGGTATAAAAGCTTTATACAAAATAACTAATTATCTTCTTCATTGAATAAATTAGTTCATACTTTAATATCATATTATATAAAATAATTCTGTTTTTTTTAAGTGAACAAAGTGAGAACATTCCTGCTACTAATGCAACAACTAAGAGTGTGTCTGCTACACATAACACAACTGACAAAGAGAGTAGGGATGAAAGGTATACTAATGATCAATTTTATATAAACAAATGTTCATTTTTATAACAGTATATTTTATGTACAATTTATGTGCATTTTTTATTTAAAGTATTTCTTAATATTGATTTCAGCAAGCAAGAAGAAGTTCAACCAAAAGTGCAAAGCAATCCAGTAAAGAATAGTCTTGGCCAAAAGTAAGAAAACTTAAATGTTCAATTTAGATAGACTATATGTTCATTTGAAAATCAGTACAAAAAAGTTTGCTCATGGCCAATAGTAATATAAGTTATATGTTCATTTTTTTATTTACTAATCAAAATTGTAAATTCAAACATATTTTTAATGAAATATCAGAAAACCCAAAGATGATTCAAGAATAACAACATTAAAGGACAAGATGCAAGAAATACATTTAGACATAGAGAGAAACCCAAAGTATGTTTAAATTTAAATAATTGAATTAATTTAATCAATTAATGAATATATTTCAAAGTTAATATCATACATTTACAGAAAGTACAAAGAATCGACAATCAGAATTATGAGAAATCTCAAAAGAATGGAAAAGGCAAGCAAGGAAATCAGGAAAGGTAAATGATCATATTTATTGAATATTTTTGTTTAATAGTCATAAATATCAATTTTAACAATACTATTACTTTTGAAGGTGAAGCAAAAAAGAAAGAAAAAGGGCCAATAGAAGAGAAAACTGTGGAAAAAGGTAAAAATTTTAAAATGTACATTTTTATTACAAAAAATGTTCATATTGGAAAAGCATAATATTAAATATTCAATAAGATTAAAAAAATTAAATTTTAACTAAATAAATTTTAATAGAAGTACAAGAAGGAAAAAAAGGGACTGAAAAAGAGAAAAGCCCTAAAGACAAAACTGTGGAAGATGTCTTTCCAAAGACAACAAATGTAGAAGGTAAAAATTTATAAATGTACATTTTTATTACATAAAATGTTCATATTGGATCTACATAATATTGAATGTTCAATAAGATTAAAAAAATATATAAATATTAACTAATTAAATTTTCATAGAAGGACAAGAGGGAAAAAAAGAGCCTGAAAAGGAGAAAATCCCTAAAGAGAAAACAGTGGAAGATGAGTCTACAAAGACAACAGATCCGAAAGGTAAATAGTGGAAAATGTACATATTCATTACCTGAAATGTTCATTTATATTGTATATAGTAAACATTTGTCATCCAATTTAATAAATGTTTATTTAATCTTTTATATTTGATCATTTCATATGCAGCACAAATTGCACCTGATTTTGTTCAAATTGAGGATGAAACTTATCTTCTAGATCAAGATGATGATAAAGTTTCCACAAAACTTAGTGAGGAGACAGCTCCATCATCACAAAAAAGTGATCAGTCAACCAAAATGAAAACAAGATACAAAATGGTTGCAAGGAAAAACAAAAACAAAAGCCTTGTTGTTGTGCCAAGTGGTAGAATTACAAGGAGCCAAGGTAATCATAATACTTTTCTGTTACACAATAAATATTACACTTTCAAATATACTAACATAAATTTTTTTAAAAACAATAGATGTTCTGTTAGATGAATCTGAAAAGGGAAGCCTGAAGAAGGATGTTGAACCTGCTAAAGAAACCGCAAAAATAGGACAGAAGAGAAGAATGTCTACAAGGAATTTTCCTATTCAAAAGGAAGCTGATGCACCACCTCCAGCACCTACTCCAATAAAAAAAATGGCAGGTGCTCCTGCTGAATATCCTCCAGACCAAGGCAAAAAGGGTAAATGTTCAATCTTAATGTATAGAATGATCATTTATGATGGTATATCATTAATGTTCAATTTCAATATATAGGTGGGAAAAAGAAAACTCTAGAAGAAGTGAAGAAAACTTCTAAGGTTGCTGGCAAAAGAAAAGCAGGTATATAATGATATATTATAAATGTTCAATTTCTATATATAGAATGATCATTTGAGAAAACAATTTTGTTCATTTTATCATTTGCTTACTGTACATTTTCAATACTTAAACAAAATTATATATTTAATTTTCAGATGTCAGTCCTGCCAAGAGAAATGCTGGAAAGAGAAAAAAAATACAAGAAGTACCATCAGATGAACCCTCTCAAGATCCTACTGATGAAAGTTCTACTGACAGTGATGATGATAGTGAAGAGTCAGTTTATAGAGCAGAAGAAGAGCCTGTCAGTGAGGATGATTATGAGGTGGAGGAAGAGGAGGAAGAGGAAGAAGTAAAGCTAAGGAAGAAACAGGCAAAGAAAGGGAATTCAGTGAAGGCAAAGGTTGAAAAGGAGGAGCAAAAGATGGTACTGTATGATGAAGGAAAGATTGAAGGTAGGAGAAAAAAGAAAATGAAAACTGAAATGGTTCAAGCAATAGAAACTGATGAAGTTGAGGAAATTCAGGAAGATGAATTTGAGGAAGAGAAATCTTCAAAGAGAGGAGGACATGTGAAGTTCATTGCATGGATAAAAAAGATGACACCTACCCAAAAACAACAAATTATTGATATAGGGTTAGGATCACTTCTTGACATTAGTTTACCTCAACTTGATCAAAAGTTCTGTAACTGGTTATTGGGAAGTTTTGAAGAAAATAGCCAGTGTTTTGAACTACCAAAGAATGAAAAAATAGAAATTGAGGTAGAGGATGTTAGGGTAGTTTATGGCTTGCCTACAGGAGAAATTCCAATTGTTGAGCCAAAGTCTGATAAAATTAGTGAGGAGTATGCAGAATTTCTGAAGAAATGGAGAAAATCATGGTCAGGAAAAACTCCATCAGTGAGTCAGGTATGATCAGTTTTAAATGTTCATTTTAAATACATTAAATGATCAAAAGTATAAATGTTTTGTTCATTTTGTTTGCAGATTGTGAATGGATACATAAATGATAAATTCACCAACAACAGACCACCAAGTGAACATTTCATTACTAACTTTTTAGCAGTGGCTGTGAACTGCTTGATGAAATGTGTATCAAACAATCAATGCCATTTCAAATTTCTTTATTCTATGATGGACAAAGAAAACATAAAAAATTTGAACTGGTGTCAGTTTGTATATGACTCACTTATCAAATGTCATGTTGATTGGAGAAAGCAGCAAGGCAAGGGGTTCTACAAAGGCCCTCTTCAATTTCTGATGGTATATTCTTAGATACAAGATGTTTATTTAAATTTAAATAAATGCACTTTTTTTTATTGTTTATGTTCTGTTCCATGTTTTCTTTTTTCTTGTAGTTGTTCTATTTTGATAGAGTTCAGAGGTTAGACAAAAGGCCTCCAAGAACAATTCCTATCATATCTGCATGGAATAGAGACATGGTTCTTGAGAGGTTGAAGATTGAATTAGAATTGGGATTTGGGAGAGGGAAAATTCTACCAAGGATTGCTGCAGAAGTTGAAGAAAGTCCTAAGGTTATAAAATGATCACTTTTGTTAACATAAATGTTCATTTGTATAATCTGAAATGTTCAACTGCATAATTTTTAATATTCATTCATATAGGTTTTTATGGATGATTTTGTTTCCCTGGTAAAAACAACTTGTTCAAACCTGTCAAAGCTTTCTTCAAAATTGGTGAAGGCAAAGGATATCTTCCCTGGAAATGACTTGGTGAAAAAAGTTGATGAAGTTTTAGGAAAGGTGGTAGCTAGGGAACCATCAATTCTAAGCCAAGATGAAGAATTCTTTGGCAGTGAGGATTTCCTAAATGCACTTGCACAAGCTAAGAAGAATCTGATGCAAGGGTCTGAAAAGCAAACAACTGAGAAGCAAATGACTGGGAAGAAATTAACCAAAAAGGGAAAGGAAAAAGAACAAGAATATGACATCAGAAAAGCTTTCAGCTTGGGGTTGACTCCACCTTCTCCAGCCATTGGTAAATTCTAACTAAAAGAGACTATATATCCTAATTTTTATATGAAAAATTCTAAATTTGTGGTCTAAATTGTCATAAACAGAAACAGGGCCCACCTTTTCAACACTTGGTGATATAATTGAACAACCAATAATTTCAACAAATGGTAATATGTTCATATATTTAATAATAATGTACATAAACTTAAGTAGAAATGTTCATTTCTAATTATTATGTGTAAATACTATTAACTTAGTGTATCTCCAAAATGATGATTTATAATACAGCTGGAGAAAAGGATGTGGGTAAAACTTCAGCAGCTTCAGAACAAAGAATTGAAGAATTTTCTAGAACTGGTATAATGTTCAATTAAAAAGTGTAAAATGTTCATTTACAAACAAGAAATATTCATTATTAATTGTATTATTTTGTTAGACGCAGCAACTGGTTCAAAATTTGATGCTGACACTAGGTCAGATAATGAAGGATTGCCTAGAACAGGTATAATGTTCAATTATAAATACTCAAATGTTCATTTACAAAGAAATTATATTATATCTAATTAAATTTTTTCTTAGATGCAGGATCTGGTTCAGTGGTTGATGCTGACCCTAGGTCAGATGGTGGTGAAAAAAGTGATGATCCAAAAAACACAGTTGGAGGTGGAAAACAAAACAAGGAAGATGTTTTTGAAAAAACAAAAAATGATGAAAAAGTGGAGGGGTAAAATCCTGAAGACATGTCTTACTATTAGGGTTATGTAATGGTGTAGGATAAAATATCTAGATGGAACAATTTAACTTATGTTACTATCGTGTTGTAACTTGAAACTGGTGTTTCTCAAACTATTGTATGTGTGAACATTATTTTGTTGAATATGTAATATGAATGTATGGTTTATGTTAAATCAATAGGTTTATGTTAAATCAATATCTTTCATTTTATGAATTGAAAATGATTCAGGGTGTTACATAAGAAGCTTTTATTTTATTAATATGTACTGACATTGTTTCACTTTTCAGTGAAAACAAGAAGATTGTTGCTTCATCCTCAAAAGTCACAAAAAGGTACATTATTTATATTAAGTAAATGTTCAAAAATAATAATGAACATTTTCATATACCTAAATGTACATTTGTGTTATGTAATATGACCAGGAATGATGATAAGAAAAAGTCAATTGCAGAAAAGAAGAAAAAAACTAAAAAGGAAAAGGTTGAAAGGTATAATTTCAAATTTATTTATATACACTCAAATGTTCATTTATGTTCCTCATAATTTTCTTAATTTAACAATATTTTATATTGAACAACAAGACCAAAACGCGAAAAGAAAACAATTCCTCCTGCTTTCCGATCTCCTTACTTGGTCAAGTACAAGGATCTGTTTAAAGATGAGAAAGCCATGAACCAAATTGCAGTAGACTTTGCTCTTGGTGGAAAAGATGAAAGGTAATTACTTACACTAATTAAACTTAAGGTTTAATATCTTTTATAAAAATATGTTCACATTCATATTATTAAATGTTCATAATGCAGTGCACTCTTATACTATGATGGCTTGAATCTCATCAATAGAAATGAAATGAAAACTCTTGGAGATGATGTTGAAGTGACAAATTGTGTCATAGATGGATGGGCAAGGTTTCTTAATCATAAAAAGCCGAGAAACAAGATTTATTTCTCAACAGTGCTTCATGTTAGTCTTTCTTCTTTTTTTATATTATTGATTCTATTTTCCTATGATAAATAATTGCTAAAAATTCATTTAACTTCTATATGTTTGTTTGTATTTCAACAGCACATTATGTGCACAAATAGAGTTTGTCAAGAAGGATCATCAATGAAGACAAGAATTAATGCCTTCATAGAAAGAATTGACAATGAACTGAAGTTGAATAAAATTGACAGCATTGTTGGATATAAACAGGTATTAATTCTTGTTTGATACAAATGTTCAATTACCTTCAATATATTGTCCAATAACATTATATAATTTGTTCAGGTCTTCTTCCCAGTATCAACTTCTCAACATTTTTTTCTGTTGTGCGTCAATCATATAGAAGACAAAATTCATATAATTGACAATAGAAAACTACCAAAAAAGGTATCAGTCCAAGCAAAATATGAAGAATAACCAAAAATGATGGTGAGATAATATGTTCATTTATAGTTGACTACATGATCAATTATATTTTATTAATTGTTCATGTCTTCATCACAATACAAACTTCTAAACAATTTTTACTCTTTTTTCTATCAGTTAAAAGGATTGGCAGAGTACATGAAACACCTTGGATATCAAGATGCAAAAAGAATTGAAGACTACACAGTTGTTTTGGAAAAGATGAAATGGCGTAGCAACAATGACTATACAAACTGTGGAGTTTACATTATGAAGCATATAGAAACCTTCACTGCTGATCCTAATGAGAGCTGGATTTGTGATTTAAAACCAAACAATGTAAGAGTTATAAATGATCAATTATTTAAGATATAATATTCATTTATGAAACAGTAAAGATTGTTTAATTAAAATTTGACAATTCATTTTGTTCAACAGGTGGAACAAATTAGAAATCTAAGGCTCCAATACACAGCAGAACTGATGTTATTTGAAGAAAACACTGAATCAAGAGCAAATAGAAGGAAAGCTAGAAAATTTGCAACTTTGTAGTTTCAAATGTTCATTTACAACTATGTATATGTTCATTTCTTATATATGACTATTTTTTTTTTTTAGAAGTAGACTTATGGATTTTATTTTAATATTATTGTAATTGATATTTCATTTTAATCTTTGAATGAAAGTTTTTTATATAATAGATCGAAAATTCAAAATTACAAAATAGTAATTAAATCAACATTACAAAAAAGTCTAATGTTTATAAAGTTCTGGAATACTAATTATTTATCTTTATTAGCCAAACGTTTAGCTACACTTGTATCAAAAAAGGCTAACAACTTATCATATTTAGAAGAAATCTTTTTAGAACCTAATTGAACATTTCTTGATTGAAGAATTGGAACACGAGCACCTTGATCATTTCTTTGAACTGTGGGAGGAGTAACTTGAACATTCTGAACAGGAAATCCTTGATCATTTATTTGAACCGTAGGAGAAATAACTTGAACATTTGTTGATTGAACATTCCTGGAGTTGGATATGATCATTTCTGGATTGGTGTTTGAACAATTCTGAGTTTGATTTTGAACATTCCTGGGAACAGTAGGTTGAATAACAACAGGAGATTTTGTTGACGCACTAGTATGAATTGGAACTCTTGGATTAATTTGAGAGTAAGTTTTAACACCAGAAGCACCTTTATTTGCACCAAAATTAGAACAAGGTTGAACAGCAGAAACACCTTCAAGATTTAAATCCTTCGCCTTTAAAAAAAATTAAATTGATCATTAATAAACCAGTATATGATCAGTTACAAACACTTATACAAACAAATATGGAAAAAAAAAAAACCTTAGCAATAGATGAAATATCAACATCAATAGATATGATAGATGAAAGAGAGCTTTCACCAGTAGCCTACAAAAAAACCAAAAAAAAATATAAAAAATAAAAAATTAAATAAAAAAAAATTATAATATAGATCATAAATGTTCATATACCTGATCAAAATCATTGGAAATACTATGATTTGATTCCTTAGAACTAGAAGGAATTTCTTCTACAACAGCTGATTTTAAGCCGACCTATATTTTTAAATTATAAAAATCAATATTAATAAAATATAAATAAAATGTTTTTTTTGGCACATTTGAATTTACCTGAGCCCGTTTATTGCTCAAAACAATCAATTCAATGGGATCACTAATAGAATTAGCATAAGTAACAGCACAACCGTTCTCATCAAGTTCCTATTTAAAAAAAAAAAACATAAATGATCATTTACGAAAACTGAAATGATCAATTTGAAAATATGAAATGATCATATACCTGTACAACTGCTTGCCCTATACCCCTTTTGTAAGGAGTGTACAGAGACTTTTTCCTCTTGAAATTACCCTTTGCCTTGTTACACTGCTTCTCCAAGGTACTCTTAGGCCTTACATTCCTCTCACCTTTAGGCCTAGCTTTTGGAGGATTCTTGATCTCAAGATCAACAATTTCAACCTCTTTAACAGGTTCACTAAAGTCAATTACACCTGATACACTCTCAACCTTTTCTTTTAACAGATTGAAATAACACTCAACCTCTGCCCTTGCATTCAAAGAATTCTGACAACTTGTTATCAACTTAACAAACTTTCTGATTGTTTGTGACCTCCAAACACTAGTAGCCACAACATTTGTCCTCAAAGTAGGTTCTTCAATACCATGACTACACATGGCAGCCTTTGTCCATCGTTTCATTATATACTCTTGTGGAATATTACGCACACAATGCAAATGATATACTCGAAGAGAATGAGAACAAAGTAAACCAGTCTCACTAAAGTACATGCATGTGCAACAAATTGCATGTGTTTCCTTATTAAAAACAACTTCATGCTTAATTATATCCTTCCCAGGCCTCCAAAGAAGATATGAATATTCTGGAAAACGCAAACCATTATCAACATGATCATAAGCTGTCCCCCTAATGAACTCCTCTTCAAAAAGAACATAAGCTTGAATAGTGTACAATGATCTTGCATGATCTAATATACCAATATTAGCAAAAGCTAGGTGCCTATTACCCCTCAGAGTATTGTAATCTCTTGCACCTTCCTTACTTCTCCACTCAGAAATGACATCAAGAAAAACATGATAAAAATCACATAAACCTTGAGTCTTATTAAGACGTTGTGAAACTGACTTATTAGTAGTTTCACTACGTTGAGAAGACAATATACCACCAGACCAATACTTCTTAGAATAAGCAGGACACCACATTTCCTTTATTTTATACAAATCACATAACCAATCATCATTTTCACATTTGTATTTATCACACATCCTGTATAACAGAAATGATCATATATTAATTTAAAAATGAACAAAATATAAATTAAAATATGTACATTTGTGTAAAGAATAATGATCATAAACAATATGGACACTAATAATATTATGATAACATACATAACAAAGTAAATTGTATGATCATATGTAAAACACTAAATGTTCATATATATATCACATAATAATCAAATATATCACATAATAAAAATAAAAAATAAATACAAAAAACAATAATTTACCTTTTCCAGAAATATTCAAATTCAGCAGGAGTTTCACAATACTTCAAAAGATATCCAAACAAATCTGTAAAGCCTTCCAAAGCTCTCAATGCTCCAATGTGTTTCTTAGAATTTTGTTCAAGATGCCATACACATAAACGATGATGAACAGTTGAAGGAAAAATGTTTCTTATACCCGCTGCAATCGCTTGTGCTTGATCAGTCATAATTGTAATGGGACTTTTCCTCCCCATTGAGTGCAAAAATGTATCAAACAACCAATCAAAAGACTCGGTGCGCTCATTAAGAATAAAACCCATACCAAACATGACATTGTTACCATGATGGTTCATCCCAACAAATGGAGCACATATCATTCCATATTTATTAGTTCTATAAGTTGTATCAAAAACCAACAAATCTCCAAAGTAATGATAATCTCTCATCATCCTACCATCACGCCAAAAAAAAACTAACTAAAGCACCACTATCATCTTGTTCAAAAATCATAATAAAAATCTGTCTCATCCACATGTCTCTTGGCAAAATATTTAATCAATTGGTTACCATCACATCCTTCAATTTGGGCAGCTTTTTCAGATGACAATGCATTATTATAAGCATCAGAAGCAGTAAAACAAAGATTAGGAGATCCCCCAACCTCCTTCTTTAGAACCCTCAAAGAATCAGTAACTTTGACTCCACTCAATTTCATTGTTGAAATGAAAAGAAGCTGCTCTTTATTCACATCTCTTTGAGACCTTATCAAATGCCTTTTTTCAGGAGGAATCATAGCATGATTATGAACCATTTCATGTCTTGTACATGTATAGACCCCTAAATGATCAATATGAAACTGCACAAAAGCTAAACAACCAGTTCGATGATCCAACTTCTCATAAATCCTTTTATTCTTACACTTATTATCTTTGAATCCCTCATTACAACAAACAAATCTTTTCATCAAAAAAGAATCATCTCTTCTTCTCTTACTCTTCCCAATTCGAATTCCAAAACCTTTCCTAAAAGCATATTCATTATACGCTTCGAAAGCTTCATCTTCAGATTTAAATTCTTTATCCTTTAATTCAGACTGTTCTGCTTCTAAATACATAATATCATCATTTTTTTCCACTGCACAATATACAATTATAAATGATCATAAAGAGTTTCATGAATGAACAATAACAAATAAGTAAAATGTTCAATATCAAAACAGCACATGATCAATTGCAAAAAGAATTTCAGCACATAATATTTTGAACAATATTTTCATTATTTACCACTACACATAATATCGATATAAAAATGTAAAAATAAATGATCAAAAATGACTTTAAGACTGAACATAAACACATTAGTAACAATGAATAAGAAAACATAAACGATTAATTGAAAGTATAATCTACAAAATATACGACAAAAACACACAATTCTAAAACACAGAGAAAACAACAAATGAAACAACAAATGAAGCAACAAAATGTTCATACAAAGTACAACAATCCAAAAACGTTCATCATAATGTAATCAAAGTAGTAAATTCAAAAATCGAAAGTGAATAATAATACATCAATTAAGTTCAAATTAACAGAGCATTATAACAGAACAAATTAGGGATAATTAAAAATTGAAAAATTATGATCACAATTACTCACATTGTTGCACAAACGAATCAACGAAACGAAGTCCAGAAGGAAACACACGCTCGCAATCGCGATCAAAATCAACGCAATCTCCAGATGCAGAATTCGCCATTGATGATCGGTAACAATTAACGAATTCGTTCAAAAAATCAAATGAAGAAGATGAATTAGCGAGAGAAAAATGTAGATCAAAAATGGAGGTTGGTTGATCAATTGAAGAGAGAGAAAAAATAGGGTTTAAAATCATATATATACATAAATTGAATAATAAGAATCAAAGGAAAAAGGAAAAAAGAGGAAGAAAAGAAAAAAAGAAAAAAAGGAAAAAAAAAAAAAAAGGAAAGAATCGCAAAAGGGAACTCAATACCAGCTACAAAACGACGTAGCATAGGGGGGGTGTAGGGAACACACCCTACACTAGGGTGTAGGGTAAAATTTTCATTCAACCAAATAAGATTAAAATCAAAGTTATGGGCCACGAAAATCAAATTTTCTCGGTTTTTAATCAAAGTTATGGGTCACGAAAACCTTTCAAGGCAAACCTCTATCACATAGTTGGTAACCACCACCCAAACAAAGTTGGTCGCAACCACACAGTTGGTCGTTAGCTGATCCTATAGGGTATGTTGGCGGAATTCTCATTTTATAGAAACTTAAAAGGGTTAGTGTGAGCATTAAAAGTGAGAATTCTCAAGGGGTGCATGCCCTTGTTTGAGATACAGAATACTCCTCCTTTCTTTTTATCTTCAATTTAAGCTAATTATTACTTCTTTAGTATAAGCAAAATTCATGGAATAACCTGCTTGATGTCTCTAATGCAATTATTATTCCTTGGTTGGTTGTCGATGATTTAAATGAAGTAACTTGTCAACAAGAAAAATGGTTGGTTGTCGGTGATTTCAAAGAAGTAACCGATGTAGATGTGATATGTTCAAGCAATCCATGGACTCGTGTCGCGTTATTGATCTTTGGTTTAATGGCCCAAAGTTCACATGGTTTAATTATAGGAAGTTCAACCCAATCCACGAAAGACTTGATGGGGTTGTGGTAATCAACAATGGATATCCTTGTTTCCAAATACAAATATTTGGCACCTTCCCCGCACAACTAAAGACCACTGTCAAATTTTGATTCGTTTTGATTCCACCGCTTCACACTCGGGTTCAAACCTCCATGTGATTGTCAAAACCGGACTCTGAAGGTGTGGTGTTAGGGGCTTTGGCATGTGAAGAGTCAATGTTGTACCACATTAAGTAAAATTGCCATCAATGGTCTAGAACTCTATATCCCACTGGATAATTGTCTCACGGATGAGCAAAACATATCCCGTACATGCAATATCCTTTCCAGCCGAAAAAAAAACTTCCACAGGAGTAATTGAATTCGTCGCCCAATTCAGCTCATTAATTCTCAAACTTCAGTGGGAATAATTAAAATTCCTTTCTTAGTTCAGCTCGTCATTTCTTAAAATTCAGCAGGAGTAATCGAAATTCCTCGCACAGTTCAACTCATCATTTCTCAAACTTTAGGGAGAGTAATCGAAATTCCTCGCTTGGTTTAACTCGTCGTTTCTTACACTTTAGGGGGGAGTAATCACGCTTCCAAATAGTTTCCTTAAGTCTTAGAACCGCTCTCGCACTCCTAAGACTTTGGGGGGCTTAGTTGTATAGTGAGGATCTCAACCGAATGACCCGTGAGAAGTACCAATAAGGTTGGGCACTCTAAAGAGCTATCATGAGTCACCTCAAACCACCTCTTGGAGGGCTAGTTGTATGAGATAGCTCATGAGCTATCTCCTGCTCCTAGCTCCACCAAGGATGGTGCATCTCAATACCAAGTACGGCATACTTGAGCCAAACAGCTCATTAAGTCGGCGTCAGCTGACCCACATAGCTCCGACTCAGAAGAAGACAGGATGTTATAGGAAGGTTGGGATTGTCTCTCGGCCCCTTCCAAAATGTATTGCAGATTTGCAGGTATAAGAATGTTAGCCTACGAAATGGACACAGGCGAGGCCAAGTGGATGAATATTTATGACTTGGTGAAGCAACTAGTAGAAATGCGTTATCTGTAGGCGTCGCGTGAAGTGCGCCTACCTTAGCATAATGTGTGAATATGCTTGAAAATCATATGAAGTTGGATTTGACTAATATAATAAGGACAAGGGAAAAAGTGGGGAGCCGCCAACAAATTTTTAAGAAACTTGTAAACAATTCATGAATTTTAACGAAACGGACAAATGCAACCATAATTTGATCCATGAAGGTGACAAGATAAAGTCGTATCTCCTAATCAAAAGAATTACCTAAGTCCTCTAACTAAAGCAGATAGGGAAGTAGGGTCGAATCCACAGGGAAACAAGTCTTTCTATTCCTAATTAATTAATATAATCTAAACTATTAAGTAACCAATTTATTTTTTAGGGGAATTAAACTAAAGGAACTAATTAAATTAAAACGATTAAGATTTATTAGAATAACAATAAAACAAAGCCTAGGGTATAGGTTCACCAATAAATAATATTACAGGGTAAAACATAGTAATCAATCATCAATGCATCAATTAATCAGATCATAAAGGGTTTTCGCTACGTATTACAATAAAAAAAAGAATTAATCTACCGGCATTAACACGCATCTCTCGAATCTTGACTTAACCAATTATAAATTAACCTGCCTATTGAAACTAAGCCTAAACATTAATTCTCATCTCTCGAATCTCGAATCAATATTGCAAAACTCATACAATTAAACCAGGCCTAATCTGATTGCATAGCATTAAATCAATCAATAGGAAATTAACCAAAGCATTAAAAATCAACAATAATAATTCACCCCTTCATATTATTTATGGATCTTCACAACCCTAGAAATAAATCTACTCACACATATTAAAATCTAAACTAAGCAAAGCAAATAAACAAGACATGATTAAGCAAAACAATTAAATTACTGAAAATAAAAAGGGGAAGAAATTGTTACCAAAGTAAACGGAAATAATGAATTGCATAAACCAAAAGTGTAGAGAGAGAACAATAGTAATAATCCAAAGCCTAAAGCTAAATCTAAGAAATTAACTAATGAGAAGAGGTACCCGTATCTAACTTAACAAAACGTATTTATAATTAAGCTCAAAAAAATACTAATTAAAAACAAAGTAAAAAATTGAAATCCTCTTCAGAATCACGCGCCCGGTCGGGAAAAGATTCGCCCGGCCGGGCCCGCCTTTTTGCTTCAGTGGAGTCTCGCTCGCGCTCGGTCGGGCGGAGCTAGGGCGAAGTGTTCTTCTTCTTTGTTCCTCGCCTGGCTGGGCGCGCCTTAGGGCGAGGCCACTACCCGATCGGGCGAGCTCTCGCGCAAGGGATCATCTTTGATTGGGCCATTTTCTTGGCCCAATCTGGATTTCCTCTTTGGGGCCTTTATAGCTCGGTTCAATGCCTCGGTCTCTTCTTTGCCGAGCCCTTAATCACTGATTTGATAACACTAGCCGATCTTGGGCTACGAAAAATGGTCATATATCTCTAATGCTCGTAGTGGCTACCATAAGTCCGGGAAAATGCTCCAATCTGCAATTTCGTTCAAAATAATGACAACTCTACAAAAACACTAGAAAACATATATTAGTAATAAAAATAGCTCCGTAGAGCTCAAATAAGCGCAAATATGACCACAGGACGGGAATAAAAATATATATATAATAGACTCATCAGAAGGTTACACCTCACTCATAATCTATGAGATTACTAACTTTATATGGTCTCAAAACAAAACTAGAAGATCGTAGATAAAGGTACGAAATAGAGTCAAGGAGACAATTTTGCCATATTGCTTGGCCTCTATTTGATTCTTATTGTGACAAATATTAATGGTGATTTAGTTGACATACAAACAATAATCAATTCGCTCCAAACTAATATTACTAAATTGGTTGAATATTAATTAATGCATACATAAATCTAAATATTGTGATCACTTGTCTACAAAATTAAAAGGGAACCTAAGTCAATTGTCCAAATTGCTAGAAAGAATAATGATTGGGAATATTAAAGTGTATAGAATAGACTATTTTTTGTCTGATTTGGTGCCCAAAACCCTAAAAAAGAGCCCGATATTTATAAGCTAGGATGCAGGGAGAAAAAAAAGGCAGAAATTTTCCGCGACAAGTCTAAATTGTTGTGGCACGTCAATTTTGTCATGTCATGGTAAAACTAACGAGGCACGTCAGTTTGGTAGTTTTCACGCGGTTTTAAAAAATTCCATACACTTGATTCATAACTCAAAATAAGGCATCTTTATCATTGGAAAGCTCTAGAATTATATCTTCCAACCCAATTAGATTTAGGTCAAAATAATTTGTAGGCTTTAATATATGGATGAAATAGTGCAAGGACGTCGATTTTGGACCGGGCTTAGTACTTGGCTCATATCTCGTTCGTTTTAAATCATACTTGGGTTTATGATATATCATTGGAAATCTTATTTCAAGGGCTATTCAATCATATAAGAGTTTCATAAAAGTTATGAGGCATGAAAATCAGATTTGTTCGGTAAAAGTGTTTGGGGTTTTCTGATGTCCTGCGGGAGAGTTACAATTCTGAGACTGGAACCGGACGCCTGTACCTGCAAAACAAATGGATGCTCCGGACGATTGGAGATCCGCCTCCGACGGTCAAGTTAGTACTTGATTAAGGAGTAATTAATGCGGAAATAAAAGTAATTGGGTCTCTCTAGGTGAGAGTATTAAATGTGCGTAATCCCCCTTAATGAGGATTAATGGGCATATTTATATGCCTTGGGATGCGTGCCAGTACTAGGTTTAGGTTAAACCTAAGGCTGACTGGGCCTCCCACAAAGATTGGGCCTTGTTGGCCGGTTTTCCCATTTGGAATGGGTGGACACGTGTCACATTGCAATTGGTGCAAGGAGGACGAATCTCTTGATGACACATGGCAGGCTCCTATTGGCCTACATGAAGGACACATGGCGAAACCTGGCTGGCCCACGTGTCGGATGCTGATTGGTGGATAAAAATCCCCTAATCATTTGCCCCTCACAGGTGGCACGTGACTGGTCACGTGTTACCTGTGACAGGTGTCGCACCGTGACAGGCGACGGCCTGCTATAGATGTCACTCGGTGAAAGGCCGAGAGATTCTCCCGCCCAAATTTTGAATTTTGGAAGTGACCCTTCGCCTTCTCACTTCGCCTATATAAGGGTGTGTTGACTTCAGTCATTTTCACACTTGAGAACTTTTTAGAGAGAACATTCGGCCCCCTGAACTTGCTCTGACATTCCGGACTCTTTCTGCCTACCGCCTGTTCTGACAAGCCGGCTACTCAGGATTTTCAGAACTCCGTCAACTTCACTCGTTCAGGTAACCGTCGGTTCTCTTACTCTTAATTTTCTCTTTATTTTATTCTTTTTTGAAATGGCACCACGGAAGCACACGACACGACCTAGGTTAGTGATCAGCCGGTCACCGGGGAC